GAAACTAATATAATGGTTATTCAAGATTTAAGTTATGAATCTTAAATATAACTACTCTTGATTTTCAAAATGGACACCTTTTATGGTTTTCAGATTCTTCAAATCATTATTTGAATCATTAAAAAGTCCATATCAATATTGACTGAAGATTGCGTATTAAATAAAACACCTGGGAATTACGATCAAACGCCGCCATTTTTCCTCAGGCGTGAAAACAAACATAATCAGGTGTGAACTAGAGAAATGCGATTTAAAATCCAGGTAATAACAACTAAATGTCAAAACAAAACATCATTGAGTAACGTTTTTTTTTTTAGTTAAATCTGTTGCAGATCTTTTTATAGCTTTAAAGATGCATTTTGTAATATTTAGCAAAGAGCTGGCAGTTTACTTTAATAGCTAAAAGATAGATAATAAAAAGAGAATATGTTGAAAATGTATATACCATTTGAGGACAAACGAAAGATCTGCATAAGGCAGATTTAACTCTTGAATAGTGAATCTTTAAGTGATATATAAATTATTATTTAGACATTTATTCACATCACAAGCCCATAGCAATCTATCTAGACCATCGGATGGTTGAGATTTTAAGTGGATTAGACAACGTCTGCCATAGCTTCGTTAAACGTAAAAAAAGGGAAAATTGAGACTTTGTTTATTATCGAAGTTACAGTACTTGAAAATAAAAACTTTGGCGCTATCCCTTGTCAAAACTTCAAGCATTCATAACTTCCCTCGGAATAAAGTAATTCGACGGAAATTTTCAATATTTTATTCAATTTTTTCATGCTCTGTTTTAAACTATTACGGTGAGAACTGTCCGCCCGTTATCTAAATCTTACATAATGCATCTTGAAGAATCAATGATTTGTTTCCCTTGAGAATGATAAAAGCTAACAATAAGTACAGAAGAACCAACCGAACACAAACACAGTATAAAAACACAGTTTAAAAACACATTATATTTAAAGGGGTATTGCCAAATATTTCAGATGTCTTGAATGTATTGAATTTGACCTGGAGATAAAGGTCGGTGTTGTGCTGGGAATGGGATATTTCGTCTTCATTTAGTACTTTCTCGGTGAGTTTTGTGGTGAATTTTGGTGGTTCAGTAAATGTAACTACTTTACTGATAAATACAATTGGTCTTAAGACTAAAAATGTATATAATGTTGAAGACAAAAGTGATCAATTAAACAATGTATGTCCATTTGGACTACGAAGTTCACGTTTACGTGTTCCAGGTGCCAGACTTACTATCGGAGGTGCGAGAATAAGATCCCAAAAAGAATTGTGATATTTTGTCTTGGATTTAAGAATTCTTAGATGGTGCTCGAGACTATAATCTGGGAATTGTGGAATGGAGGAGAGGGATGCTTTCTTACCACTTTATTGGATTTGGGCCAATCTAAATAGGTAGGTCGGTAGTCCCCTACGTGCAAGCGAATAATAAAAATAAAATTGAACCATATGTTAGTCTCGAGTGGACGTAAAACTCCATTTCTCTGTATCTCTCTCCATTGGTGGTTACTAAACGCCAACACATTCTGTGCACCAAATACATGTATGTGTTTTCAGCTGACTAGAAAAGCAACTGACAATTAAAGGGCCAATCCCGATAATTTTTTGGAGAATAAAATTGCTTAATTTTGTGTTAAAATCCCTTAAAATCCTCTACCTAAGGGCCGAGCAACTAACTCAATATTTGTGATACGTTTACAAACAACTTAAACCAGTCAGTCTTCATCTGGAAATGGAGACCGGTGTATAAAAATAATGTGTAGGTGAAATTTACCTTTCGTTATCAAGTACAGCACGTCATTCATTCACTGTATAGACCTCTCAAGGAACGGGAATCGATTATCAGATCACTCAACGAAAACATTGACCCGAAATCTTAAAAGGTTACGTGTCCGGATAAGGAGTTTTGGCTTTCACGTCCAAACGACTCAATATTTGGAGCTGGAATTTGGGGATAAGGTAAATGCACCATGCATCTATATTTTGGCGCTTAAATTTCATACGTACTCGGACATTTATTTTTGAGGCTATGTTCAAATCGGGATAGTCCCTTTAAATTGATTCGTGTCTACAGGCCGCCATAACCCCCCCCCCCCCCCCGCATCCTATATGGCATGTGAATTCCGTTTAAGGTGCGCTATAAAATATGAAATATTACCTTGTAGAATTTTTTAAGTTCATTGATCATACAGGGTAAACAATACAAAAGAATCAAAATGAAATGAAATGGGGTTTAACGTCCTGCTGTACTGCTACGACTAGGCTCATGAAGACGGACATATGCTACGGCCTACTCTTATATCGAATTCCAACTGCCAAGGTATATTTTACGTGCACGCCAACGTGTACACGGGGCCTCTTTTTTCTCTTTTTTTGCCACATCCTAACGACTCTACGTTGCCATGCCTTCCGTCCTGCACCATGACAAGGGGGAACCACGCCGAAAAATCCCGATGAACTTCCTTGACCAACGCAGTGATCGAACACGGGACCTCCAGGTTAGGAAATGAAATGAAATTAAATGAGGTTTAACGTCCTACTGTTCTGCTCCGAACTGGGCTAATGAAGACGGGCATACGCCATACAGTGTGCTATGGAGGGAAATTTTGCCCGGACAGCGGCACTACGGCCTACTCTTATATCGAATTCCAACTATCTTTTACGTGCACGCCAATGTGTGCACGAGACCTCTTTTTTTTGTCCCATCAGAATGACCAGACAGCTGTCCTTGTCAGGCCCTCCGTCCTGCATCACTGACAAGGGGGGACCATGCTGGAACTCCAGGTTAGCTAGCCAACGTTTAACTCACTGAGCCACCGACAAAAAGGCCAAAGTTTTATAACAAAGCTACGAAAATGGTGCCGTTATAGAAATAAAATGGGGTTTAAGAAAGCAGGGCGTTTTGCTTGTAGGCAAAAACGTTTCTCATAAATGGCGTCGTTTTTTCCAGATAGCAACACAAGTTCTATGTGCATACAAGTAACAAATCTGGATTGGGTTGTAATATTCCCTAATTTTATTAAGAATTCTTTTAGAAAACCACGTTTCTAATAACAGATGCTATTCCCAAAATTTATTAAGAATTCTTTTAAATAACCGCGTTTCTAATAAAATATGCTTTTCCCCAAATTTATTAAAAATCTTTTAGATAACTGCGTTTTTAATAAAAGATGCTTTTCCCAAAGTTTATTAAGAATTCTTTTAGATAACCGCGTTTCTAATAAAAGATGATATTGCCAATGTTTATTAAGAATTCTTTTAGATAACCACGTTTCTAATAAAATATGTTTTTCCCAAAGTTTATTAAGAATTATTTTAGATAACCGCGTTTCTAATAAAATATGCTTTTCCCAAAGTTTATTAACAATTCTTTTAAATAACCACGTTTCTAATAAAAGATGCATGCGTAAATTTACAACTATTTAAACATTTCAGTGCACATTTGAAAGCCATATTTTGGATCTCAAAGAGTTCGACCGAGATTCTGTGTCTTCTTTCAGATGTTCAAAGACATTTAAAACTTGCGAATACTCTCAGAATGAACGCCTCAAATAGGAAGTTCTCGATCGGTCGTCCCTCTGTTCTTTATCCTCTACAGACTAACAAAACGGTTTGAATAAACAATAATGGCGGGCTTGAAATGAGCCGAGTATGTAAAATTAGCTCACATGTGCAATGTTTAAAAGTGTTGGTAGTGCGGTTACATATTTAGAATTGGAGAAATCAACTCAAAAGGTTTTAAAACAATCCGCGAGGTCGCCATGTCTCTTTGGTACTAGCTACCAGGTATACAAAACGTGGATTATAGAACGGAACGAAACAATGGATGTTAATCCATCTTTCTTTACTTAAGGGAACAAGGCCATTTTGGTTTTCTTATCCTCTCTCAATGCTAGCATTGTTAGCTTTATTCGCTGTGAATGAAATAAAATGGAACGGGGTTTAACGTCCTACTTTTATCCTCCACCCGGGCTAACGAAGCCGAGCAAATACGTCATGCGGTGTGCTATGATGGAAATTTTGCTCGAACAGAAATTGGATTTCAATTGTCAAGGGTTTTTTTACGTGTCCGCCAAGGTATACACGGGACCTCGGTTTTTCGTCCCATACGAACTACTAGCTAGCATTGTTTCCTGTGAATGTAACGCCGACGTCCAAACAAACTATTACTCAAAGACGGGTGTCATGCACGGGGTATTGATGGCTGAATCTTTTCTTTTGAGTTATAAAATGAACGGGACTTATGAAGCCGTGTGTTGTGTGGGAATTCCAAACGTTAATGGTTCTTTTACGTAGACCTCTATTTTTCGTCTCATCCAAACGACTAGACGACCCCCTCCTCCTCTTTTGCACCAATGACAGTGGGCTGGAAATTAACAGGGAAATTTAACGAGCAACACCGGGATCGAATCCATGACCTCTAAATCCATTGGCCCATGTTGGAATCAAGACGCTAGACGAGATAAACTTAAATAAACCCACGCGAATACAAAATGATAACGGGCGGGGGGGGGGGGGGTGGCTGAATGGTTAAACCCCATTTATCTCTCTCTCTACACAAAATGATAACGATGAATATAGGGGAGGTAACTATGCTTAAAATGCATATGGAGTAAGACTACTAATTTATTCAAACCACTGACTTCAATTTCAATTCCATGCCACATATGCACAAATTTCGTAGAGTTTATACTTTATAGCAGCAAAGAGCCGAGCATGGCAAAATCAGTTTATCTCAATTTTAAATGGGGTTGACACCAACTGGTATGCCGGGTAAATTCGTTGAAAGGCGTGGCAATAGGACAGTTTCTATAATAAAGACGGGAAATGCATATGGGTATTCATTGTTGAACTAATATGGGAAATTATGCCTATTTACGTCATGGCCCTCTTGCCACAAATACAGTTATATCCACTAATCCAAACCTAGTTCGCCAATTCTAACTTAAAGGATAAAAGAAATTGACATACAAAGGTGAGAAAAGAGTGGTGGAAGAGTTTATATACAAATCCATGAACTTCAGAAATCATCAGTGGACCGACTCCATATCAGATATATGATATTCGCAAACTATTCTGCAGCTTGGCCTTCAACATCTGACTTCCTTCTAACAGCTAAAATACCGTCTCTTATTGGTAGTAGTACCTGAAAGTATTCATTTGATGAACAGTCAAGACAAAACGAAACTTGATTTTGAAAAATGTGTATACGGGTCCTCGTTTTTTCGTCCCATCTGAACGACTAGATAGCTGTCCTTGTCAGGCCCTCTATTCTACAGTGAGATCGAAACTGAGACCTCCAGGCTAACGGCTCCCGACTTGATAAAGGAAATCTTGACAAATCGACATACAATACTCTGTGGTAATGGAATTGTTCTCGTATGCTGCCTGCCTTTTTAATCAAAATAACTATTAAGACATTAAACCTCATTAAACACTTGAAATTCAACATAAAATATAAAACATAGTGAGTGGTTTCAGGAAGAGGACATTGCCCCCCCCCCCCCCCCGCACCGCATTGGCTGTCCAGGTAAGCACACTAACCAAATTGATCAACCATAAGAATGCTAACCAGTGAATAAATGTCTACATAATAGTTCATATGACATTTGAAGTCAAAATAAATACTTCTTACATAATGTATCTATAGGAATTAGTGTGTACCTGTTGTAATTGAGGATTATTTTTAATATTTTGATTAAAATCATCCATAACATTATCTTCTATTGTTCTAGGATTGTTATATGATGTACCACTCAGGTAGGCATTATCTGCTAATATAATACCACGTGGCGCCAGTAAACCATTCTCTAATATTACCTGTAAATTATTATAAAATAAGGTATAAAGGGTAAAATAAAATATTATGGGTAAAATATTATGAAATTAAATATAAAGGGTGAAATCAAACATTATGTGTAAAATATAAAAAAATTAAATAGAAACGGTGAAATCAAACAAAATCCTTGAACACGAACGGGGCGCCACGATAGCTCATTGTGTAAGGGGCTGGCTCACTAACCATGGAGCCGATACAGGCGGTGACCTAGAAAGTTCCCATAAATTGTGAGTGGTAGGGAGGAAGATCTGACAGGGCACTGCTTCATGTTTTTCAGGTAGGACGAAAAAACGAGGTCCCGTGTACACGTTGACGTGCACGTAAAAGAACCCTTCGCTATAACAGGTTATATTAATGCTTATCTGTTGCTGTTGCATAACATATGAGAGCGAGAGAGAGAGAGAGAGAGAGAGAGAGAGAGAGAGAGAGAGGTCAACTCGACCCCATGCACACCTACGTTGTAAGCGCATATTACTGTACTTACATCTACATATTCTTTATAACCGGGTTTATTAGCGTCAATAAAGATAACATCAAACGACCTGCCTTCTTTTATTAAATTATTCAATGTGTCGTCAGCTGGTGCTATAAAATAATTAAAATGAAATGAAATGAAATGGGGTTTAACGTCCTACTGTTCTGCTCCTATACTGGGCTAATGAAGACGGGCATACGCCATACAGTGTGCTATGAGGGAAATTTTGCCCGGGCAGCGGCACTATCGCCTACTCTTATATCGAATTCCAACTGCCAAGGGATCTTTTACGTGCATTCCAATGTATACACGGGACCTCGGTTTTTCGACTCATTAGAAGGACTAGACAGCTGTCCTTGTTAAAATAATTAAAATACATCATGCTATATTATTATAACATATTACTCATACATTATGCAAGAGCTAAATCTGCCTATTGCAGGTCCTTCTTTAGGCCTGAAATGTTATCTAAATTATTAATTAGACATTAATTAACCTATCCAGACCATAATCAACTCTCGATGTCATCGCTAGCCATCGATATTTACTGGATAAGGATCCAATTTGCTGCTCAACTTTCATTCATGATTAAATCATGAAATGGATAATCGAGACTATGTTTTTTTTATCGTACCGACTTTAGTAATGATGATCGAGGCTAGTCCGAAAATTCAATCGTTAAATTCTTGGTTCAGAGTGGATCAATTTGACTGAAATTTCCAGCAAATTCCCTTTACATTATCTAGTTTTTAACTATTATAGTGAGGACCGTCAGCCCTTTATCTAATCTCCCATAATGTATCTTTAATAATCAAATAGATTTCTTACCAAAATATGTCTTGATTTTTTTACCATGTGGAGAACGACTGAAAAAATCTGCAGTCATATCTTTAAGATATTCCGATATTTCACATGTAACGACTTCTCCATCCGCGGGTAGAGCCTCCGCCATTGCCAGGGCAGTGTATCCAGTAAACATACCGATTTCTAAAACCTCTTTAGCATGCATCATACTAATAACAAACTTCAAAAATTGACCTGAATTTTACAACACAAATATGCTACTATTAACGGAGACTTTCCAAAAAATATATGTAATTAATTTGATAAAATATTTTCTAAATACCTTTAGATTCGTCTGATTATTGTAATTTATTTTATTTAATAATATCATATTCTAATAAGTATCGTAAATGATAGCAGGGTCTGCTCAGTAGGGTGTATTTTACGCGCAATGAGAACGACTATCTTCAGTCGCAAATGAGATGAAATGAAATGGAGTTTGGCGTCTTACTGTTCTGTCCCGAATGACAAATGCAGTAGGGCTTCAGTCGCAACGTAAAGCCAGTCTACATTAATAAGGATTATTCGTTTACTGTAGATATTGTATATTGATGGATCATTTTCATGTGCATGAAGTTGTTAAACTTGTAGGACGTAGGGCCAGACCAGGAACAGCGTCTAGTCGTTCAGACAGGACCAAAAGCCGCGGTCCCGTGTGTAGGTTGGCGCACATGAATAAAAGAAGCTCTGGAAGTTAGAATCAGCACGGTTTGTGCCAAAAAAGGCGTACGCTAAACCCCATTTCACAACTCTCCAGGCAGGACAGCTTCCAAATCTAAACAGCTCAAATAAGCACAATCAAAAATTACATAGTGTGGGTTAAAAAAAGTAATAAAGATATATTTACATGTAACAAGACCGCTTATCATTCCAGGTTCCAGGTTCCATTTTGTTTTACCCGACGTGTAGGCCTGTTCCCAAGGATGTGCTATAGTCTGTTCATGTATGTAGGCCAAAATGTCGCTCTGTGGGGTTGTAATTTCATCAGCATAGTGGTGTCGTTTATTGCACATATCCAATATCCTCTCAAGTTTTTCTCGTACTTCCGGTTTCACATCTTTGATATCTGGAGATTTCAGTAATGCGTCTAGTTCTTTGACTGCGGGATCATATTGGGCCATGCTATAACCTTTCTAGTTGTGGTATCAGCTATATCTGTAATAAATAGGTATATAGATTAATTCGAATTATGAGCCATATAGCTTTCCATAAAAGGTATACTCTCAATTTAAAGGAGCTAAATCGCTAATATTTTGGACCTAGAAATTGGCACAAATGGGTCGCAACACATATAATAATGTAATATGAATTTATATAAACTGTTTTACATTCAATCGTGTCCGTTTTACTGTGAATTGTCATCAGTTATGTTCGGCGAAATACGTCAGAAGTCTCAACCGCAAGTCAGTTTCTCGCGTCTGGTTATTCCAGTCAACATCGATATTATTTATTGCGCATGCTCTCCAAATAAGAACATGATATCACCGTTTGACATGACTTGTGGAATATGTCTAGCCTCATTCTTTGAGCACCTTCTTACAAATGGGGCTGAAACGCATTATGGTACACGATTCGTGTACCAATGGTAAAATGTTTATTTTGTCTTAAATATTGGATATCAGAAGCCCATCTTTTCCAGGTAAGATCACAACACCAATGCTGATTTCAATTGCAAAAACATTCGTGTTTTCAATGTCGAAGATTTTGGATGATATTGAGTTAGAGACTTAGCTACTTCAAATGTGTACGTTTCATGTAAAATAGACATGCCTAGCCTTGTATTGCCCATATGATGTCTCAATCATAAAGTTCACTTACCTAAGCCAAATCAAGATAATTCGACGACTTACACAATTCAGTATAACGTACTGTGGTTTTACAACCTATTCGTTAAACATTGAACAGAGATAATATCATCATAGTTCTTACATCGGTTACATACGTCCTAGCTGATAGCGGATCGCGATATCGCTGCACGTGATTCATTGACCTTGAAAAAGGCTGTGTTTTTAAAATGAAATAAATGCATATCAATAATGCTTTGTTTCATTTAATCGTCGTTCTGGCTTTATTATGCCACGGGATAAATATTATTAGTATTTCTATAGAATATTTTATGAATACATGAATTAAGAACAATATATTATATACGGTTGGTATATAATATCTGCGCTCGGAAATGTGTTCACTCCATATCTAATGACTGTCGTTCGCAGGCCCGTAACTAGAGCCATACGCTTTTTAATTGTCGTTCTGGGTTATTATTCCATGATATAACTAGTATTTCTATAGAATAGTTTATGAATATATGAATTAAGAACAATATACATACTATACGGTTCGTTTGTGCAAACAATTAACACCTGTTGCACTCTTAACTGCAAATTGTGTAACCGTATTAGGAATCAAATAAACGGTTGGTTGAAAGTTCCCTAACAGACAGTACCCGAGTGGTCTTGCAACCTGAAAGCTTCATAATATAGACAGCATCCGACTGGGTGTTACAACCGGACCGGGCATTCTTCGACGATTGAGTCTTACAGTATTTGTATCGTGTCCAGCGGAACAGTTGTGCCTGATAGTCCCAGCCACCTGGCATTGCTCAAATGCTCAATCCGCCCATGCTAGTAGCTATAGAATGTCTCATAAAGGCATTGCAGAAACGTAAATTGAAGCAACATGATAATTTATTATCGACTGTTGCAAAATGGGTTTCATATGAACACAGCGAAACTAACAGACACGTAACTGATCCTTTTCTCCAAATTATTTTTCGTGGATGTGGGTTTCGTTTCCGTTCTTGACTTTCAGCAGTGTGATACAACGTTTGGGAAATATTGCCCTTTACGTGAGTTGCTTCCCTTGTTGTTAGGTTGTTTTTCATTTTGATTGAAGACTTTAAACGGTCAGCCCTTTATCTAAATCTGACATATAATGTATCTTTAAGAGTATAAATGGTGCAAGTTTGAATCACGTTCGCCTATTCATTGTTTTCCCATATAAAAAGGGTTTCCAATTATCAAAAGATCGGGCCATTTTATTTATCTAAACAAACGGGTCAGTATTAATTGGTTGGCTTTTTCCAAACGTTTGCTCCTTTAAGAATTATCATAATATGTGTTCGGAAAAAAAGTGTGAATTGAAATTTTGATAGTTATGCAAATGCAAAACTGTTGTCAAAATGAAGTTTGTTGTTATTTACATGTGATCAGAATAGCAGCTTAGCCCTTGGTTTCTCTTGTCAGTGATGCAGGACGGGGGGGCCTGACAAGGACAGCTGTCTAGTCCTTCGGATGAGACGAAAAACTGAGGTCCCATGTATATATTGGAATGCACGTAAAAGATCCCGTGGCAGTTGGAATTCGATATAAGAGTAGGCGATAGTGCCGCTGCCTGGGCAAAATTTCCCTCATAACACACTGTATGGCGTATGCCCGTCTTCATTAGCCCAGTATAGGAGCAGAGCAGTAGGACGTTAAACCCCATTTCATTTCATTTCATTTCATAGCGAATTTAGAGGTCATGTATAAAATTATGGGTGGTCTTTATCCCTTGTTTAAATTTAGAGTTATCTCCCTTTCCAATATGGTCGAAAACAGAAGAAATGGAAAATTTGCTTTACCGGTCTTAAAAAACATTATATCATTTACCCCCTGTTGGTCCAATTAGGTAACTATAATATTCTCTGTGGTTTCTTTTCCACAATATTTTTTAGCCTTTCAAGCATGAAGACGTTTTTGATAGCACCAATAACGCGAAAAAGACCTTTTATTTCTGCATGTTCGTCGAATTTTGCTTGCTCTGATTTGGAGTAGCCTACCGGTAATTTAAATAAATGCAATAGTAAATAGATTAATGTACCACAAACACAAAAAGACAGAAAACGTGTAAGCTGAACTCGACACGACACACAATACAAGCAAGCAAGCAATAAAGAATAAAGGTACATGTACATGTTACATACATGTCATGTATTATCTCAATCTGTTTCACAGAGGTTTATGAAAGTCGTCTAATATCTCTGTAAAAGACGACTGCCTTCAACACGTGACAGCACATCATACAGCGTCAATCATTGGCTCAATGTCCCGTGCATTGTTTACATAAGGCGTTACTGGTTCGGGCAGAATGGTGCCTTTTACTCATTTCAATACTCATTTACACTAAATAGGAACTAATTTTTCCCTACAAATACTTAAACTAGTTTATTTATTTTTCTAATACATAACAAAAATGTTTTAAAATTTAATTTGTCGGAAGGAAAAAGTTAATATTTGTGGCACATTAAGTCGCATCGATGTCATCCTTATCAGTGATTGTAGTGGCCTAGCGAATATTCACTGCTGATTGATGTGGTATTATCTAACCAAGTGAATGGTTCCTGGAGTCTGCCAATTGTCTGGTGCTTATCGCACATGTAGATCTATAAACCTGGGGATACAAATGATGATTTTAGTTGTAGGCTACCTGACAATATTTAACCAGAATTAACATTGGATTTGAACTTTTGTGCCAGACAAGTTCGGATTTATGTCTGAGAGTGTCTGTCATCTATGACAAGTGTCATATATGAGATCCAATAAAATGTAGACTTATATCTTAATAGTTTAGAAAAATAAACCACAGATAAGCTTATTGCTTTTTAAAATTTAGATAAAGTTAGAATTTATGTCTGACAGTTTCTGTGACATGTCTATTGATAGAAAATACATGTAATACAAATATACCCAATATACAGTGTACAAGCTTACATCTTAATTGTTTAAAAAACAAATAAGCTTATGGCTTTATATGGCTCAGTAGTAACCTACATATAGTTGTACACCCCTAACATTATTTTTTTCTGTTTTTCCAGGTCGTAAATATGCAGCGACCTTTTATGATGGGGCAGGTGCCCCCACAAATGATGATGGGTGGGATGAACCAAATGGCTGCAGCAAACAATATGCATGGACCTAATCCCATGGCTGGTATGGGTAATTTTAACATGATGCCAGGCATGAATCCCAACCAGAATCAAATGTCAGGCATGATGGGTAACCATGGTAACCAGATGCCGAGAATGGGGATGATGGGTGGAATGAATAGAGGCGTCAATCCCATGATGATGGGAACAAACCAAAATATGATGATGCAACAGCAGCAACAACAACAACAGAATATGGGTATGATGTCATCGCAGCAAATGCAAATGGCCAATATGATGGCTGGCATGAATCGAATGCCTGTGCAGAATGTTGGATTGGGTATGAACATGATGCACCAGGGACAACCAATGAGAGGAATGGGACCTGCATGTAATGTGTCACAGCAGTCTATGAATTCCGGTGCATCAGGCAGTATGATGTACAGTTCTAATAACTTCCAAGGGAGACACCAACAGTTCGGTCAAAACAACCAGAATTCTTCCACTGATTGTTTCCAGAGTCCGAATCAGTCAAATATGAGTAGTCGTAGCAACACATCAAATGATAAAAATAGGTCAACTCAGAGAAGTTCCACATCAAATAGAGCCGAAGGACGCTTTTCAAGACGATCTGATCACAGTAAATCTCCAGACAGAAACAGACAATCGTCAAATTATCGATCAAATCGCTTTGATCGCCATAATTATGACAAAACAAGGAGCTATGATGATGACCGCAGATCTTCAAGATCTGAAAGTACAAGCAGAAGAAGTGACCTTTCGGACCAGGAGTATAGATCGTCTAAGAACAATGAGTCGGACTCGGAAAGAAAGTATTCATCAAGAAAGAGATCTTATTTTGACAGTGATACCAACCAAACATCTGATACAGACACAGACAAACACGTCTCAGGTTCAGATAGAAGTTCACGACATCGTTCCAGATCTCCCAGAAGGTATAAAAAGCCTTCTTTTTCAAGAGATGGGTAAATATTAGCTTATACCTTATTTGGTCTTTAAATTAAAGATTCTATTCTGTTTTAGTTTTAAAAGGTAAGCAAAACAAAAAATGACTGAAGATTCTAATTTTTTTCAAAGATTATAATTTTGTTACCCCTCTTTACCTAACTTTCATTTCATGTCGCAGCTCCTATGGACAAATGTCAAAAAGTGACTTAATTCAGGACCGCTTTGATGGTGGCAAGTAGGTGCCGAGACGGACCCAGGTTGCCACACTCACAAACATTGTACATTATATATGTACTACATGTACAGTTATTCTGATGGGATGGAGATAGGGTCACTCCTTGACAAGATGCAAGTTCTAATGGATCCAGCTTACAATGGTCGTGAGCATAATGTTGACCAATCACAGGCCAATGAAATATTGTTTTTAGTTGTACTTAACAAAATGTCAGGCATTGCTGAAGTTGTACCTGACATTGTTGACTTTGTGCCGGACAGTTTTTAAAAATATCAATAAACCCACAGAAATTATACAGATCTGTGTCTTACAAGATTTGAATTTGTGCCTAGACATGTAACGTATTTCTAGACTTGACCAGCTGAATTTATGTGGCTTATTTTTAGACTTGACTAGTCTTAATTTGTGCCTATGACATATGGCTTATTTTTAGATTTGTCCAGTCTGAATTTGTGCCTCTATGACATATGACTTTAATATTTCTAGACTTGATCAGCCTCCAACTCCAATTTTATAGACACCCTATATTTATCTTGTAAATAAAAATTTAATGGGATTGTACATGTATGTCCTACTTCAATGGCAACGTATTCCGCAACTCTTAACGAATTTCAAATGTCAAGGTTTCCAATGATTCCAAACGTCTACACTGTTCTTTTTTTGTGCAGATGTCTTTTCCTTATCATGCCCTACATCCTGCGTCACTGACACTGGGAAATCACACTGGAAAATGCTAAAATTGTTTATCGTTGAACAATGAAATGATTGACATTGGTTTTTATTGAATTCAAGTTTAATTTACAAAATAGCAGGAAACATTTTTTTTTGTTTTTTGACTCCATAATTACTTAACATTTCAGTAGAAGGGATAGAGATGATAAGCAAGACAGTCAGTCGTCCTACAGATCCCATAGAAATGAACGAGAAAGTCGAACTCGAGACAGAACAGATAGTTTTAGATCTGACACGAATGATGCTAAAGATTACTTGAGGTATTAAATGTCACTTTTTATACAGAATTACAGAGCATAGATTGTACATCACATTGAACGCCATAATGGCTGACCTCAAGATCTATTCTCATTGGCGTGGGGGGTGGATTTCCGAATGGTTAGCACATGCGCTCTGTATCATAAGGCCTGTCACTGAGTCAACTGTCGTGGTTTTGAATCCTCGGTTGTAAGTGACAAGGAGTAGGGTCGCCTGTCCAGCCTCGTGGGTTTTCTCCGGGTCGTCCGGTTTTCTCCCAAGTGCTAAAGACCCCTACGCGCAAGCGAATTATTGAAATAAAATTAAACCATATGTTAGACCCAAAATGACGTAGTTTGTGATGAGTGGACGTTAAACCCCCATCTTTCTCTCTCTCTCTCTCTCTCTCTCTCTGTTCTCATTTATACAGTAATATAAGGGTGTTAAGTTCATAGATTACACACCCTTTTTATATGGAGTTCCCCTATTTATTATACTGAACAACTTCACTATACCCCTGTGCATAATATCATGCCTAATGTATTTGACGTTAAATTTGTAATAAACACAAAAACAATGCATTAAGTGATGTTTCTGATTTTTTTAGAGACAGTACAAGTAGAAATTTTGAAGATGAACCAGAAGAAAGTTGTAACATAGAACCTGAGAATGTGGAACCAAGTTGGATCAGATGTTCACCTGCCGATCTTTATTTTACAAATAACCATGTGGTAAATAATATATCTTTTTTTATAAATAACCATGTACAGTAAATAATAGATATATTTTACAAATATTAATGTGTTGGATAATTTACTAATGTATATAAATAATTATTTATATATAAGTATGGTAAATAGTACATGTACATATATTTTACAAATAACCATATGGTTAATATATATTTTACAAATAACCATGTGGTAAGTATATATTTTACAAATAACCATGTGGTAAGTATATATTTTACAAATAACCATGCGGTAAATATATATTTTACAAATAACCAGGTGGTAAATATATATTTTGCAAATAACCAGGTGGTAAATATATATTTTACAAATAACCATGCGGTAAATATATATATTTTTTAAAATTTGGGTAAATATACAATATCCCAAAATGTGTGATAATGCCCTATACACCTAGCCTGTTGTGTAATGGTTAATCCAAATTCTCCCAGATAGTATCTTCCCAGATAGTACTACGGGGGAAATTTTAGTAAACCTGTACGTAAGACTTAACGCATCACTTGCATGTGTATCTGTAGACACTTTTGGTCCTACACATACAAAATTTTCACCTGGGTTCTTGCTGTTGGTCTGTGGGCTACCAAACACTAGACCTGTGCGTGTCAAAACTACACCAATCTGATTAAAATATAGATCTATATTTCGTTTCGTTTTTTTATACTTTCGATGGCCTACACTACATGAAGATCTGACAAGTTATAGCCATAGGTCACGTCAGGGGTCAAAAGACCGACTTATGACCCTATGACGTCAGACATTTGATTAACCAATCAGCATTGATGTTACTAGTAGATTATCCACATTTCCGTGCAAAACACGCCTAAAGCTTGCCGTAACAGACCGTTTCATTGGATTATCCCTGACACCATTCAGAACACAAGTTAAATAACAACTCTTCCAGATCCAAGTGTAGTAAAGACAAGTAAAACGAAATTTTGAACTAATAAACGAAACGAAATAGGATCGGTGTTTTTACCAGATTGAAACTACACAACAGTAGAAACCCAATGGTTTTCTGTGATTCTCAACAGATTTGAACAGTTTTCCAACAATGGTGTGAAACTAAACATTAAATGATGCCCAAGTTGCGGTGTAAGATGTTTCATGTTGTTCATTTATCTCTAATCTAGACTGGTTGTATAGAGGGAACAAAGAAGATGAAAGATCTAGAAGATTTATTTGAACGAGAATTGGTTCAAAGATCAGCTACAGCCATTGCTAAACAAACAGAATCAGTACCACCACCATGTTCTAATAGACATCATCATCATCATCATCATCATTCACATTGTCAAGAAAGTAGTGGTTAGTACAAAATAATCTTTAGTTAGTCATTGGTTGTGGTTGAGAGATAGGGCACTAGCCGGTCTCTCATATATCATTCAATATTTCTGCTCTATTTTGATGGCATATTGTCGGATTTATGATCATATTTTGAATGGGGTTTATGTTTTTAAATAAATAAATAAACACGCTAAGAAATGTTGACGAATATTTCGATTGGAATAATGTAAATAATTACGTAACTGTTTTAGACGATAGCGCATGCTTAGAGTCGAATGGGATTATTTAGCAGTTGGTGTCACTCGCTCGTTGTATTAGAGCGACGTTTACTACGGTTTACGGTCAAATAAATTTTGGGATGTCATTTTTTTTTTACCTTCCGTATATAAATCGAAACAGAGTATAAGACGAATGCCGGACTTTGCTGAAAAATGTATCAACTTATGAGCCGAAAAATATGGTAATTTTGGGGGAATTTGAAAGCGGTACGGATGGGCAGTAGTCAGCACACTTTCATTCTATGGTATTATGATGTCCTGTAATTTTGTAGGAATATTATTGACATAAATTTGAATACCGTACAGGAATTAAATGTGAAAAATAATGATGTGACCTATTTTTTTTATTACGTATGGATTTGAATATTTTGTTGACACGTGATTCTTAATTGTGGTTTGAAAACACCTGCTTAAATAACGATAAGAGTTATGTCCCTTTATTTTCGTGAAGAAAATGTCCGACAACTAAAATTTTGAAATCTCATCACTGTTGCCACTGCAGTCAGATACAAATTGGGATTCATATATGTTACGATACAGTTTGTATCACTATTCATACCAGGTCAATATTTACTAAGAAAACAACAGGATAAATGAATAATTGATATTTTTAGTCCTGCCGATGTGGAAGAAATAAAACTGTTTTATATCACGATATTGTGTACCTATGGATAATGTGTAACATGAATAATTAAGAGTGACAGGTTACTTACTGAAGCGACAATAAAAAACATAAAAAAGAATTGCGATACATCAATTCAGCGTCTCGCGAATTGTAAGAAGGTGCTAGTACTACTTTCGTTTTGTCCTCAAAATGCCAGCTTGTTGATTTTCATTAATTTTATTACACAAATTACAGAAAATCTCCATCATTAAAATATTGACATGACTATTGGTGACATTCAACATTTCACTTGTAGGTTTTCATTTTAACCCTTAACCGGTCAACGTCCTTTTGACGTTGTGACGTCAAGTGGTCAGGCTAAATAAAGGCTGGCGTGAAATATTTTGTATGCCTATTTCAATCGACTACTGCCGAATAATTATAAGTGATAGACTCTTGACACCAATAAAAAAGTTGCTTGGGATAAGTTGATCTATAATTTGCAAATCATTCTGAATCCGTGACCATATTAATTAAATACGAAACTAAATACTCAATAAAAAAGGTTCTTGCTATGGTCGACTTTAGTCGACCGTGACCACTTAGCTGTATAACGTTGTGGTGACTATAGTCGACAATGACCGGTTAAGGGTTAAGACAACTATCAATACAACTAAATACAATTTTTGCCTGCAATACAATTAAATACAATTTTTGTCTGCAATACACAGCCTTCATTTATGTCAATTTCTCCAGTGACAAATTTCACTCATATCAGAACTTTAAAGAGACTTTATGTAAGATTTAGATAAAATATAGTATAGTATTTCAAAAATAGATAATGCAAAATGAATATATTGAAAATTTGATTCAAATTACTTTATTTTGAGCAAAGTTATCAATGATTGTAGTTTTGACAAGATGTGTGCATTGATTGTCATTCGAGTATTAGCCTCGCTTCTCCATTTTTACACTAAATTTGATCCCTTGGCAGTTTGAATTCAATATAAGAGTAGGCCGTAGCGCCGCTGTCTGGCAAAAACTTCCCTCATAGCATACTGTATAGCGTATGCCTGTCTTCATTAGCCCAGTCGGAACAGACAGTCAGTAGGATGTTAAACCCCATTTCGTTTTGAGATTTGATCAAAACTTTTTAGAATGGTCTTTATGTTTTCAGACAGTGATTCCGATGATTCTAGTTCAAGTTCTGACTCTGATGAAGAAGTAAATGCCAGGATGGAAGAATTAGAAAGAAAGAGAAAACATCCTCATCTTTTACATCCAGAACTCTGGTACAATGAACCTGGGCAGGTAAGATGTTACCCCCCCCCCCCCCACTTTCTCTGGGAGCCACAGTGGCTTAGTGTGTATGCACTAACTCACTAACCAGGAGGTCCAAGGTTCGACCCCAGTGTTTTCCCTTTGTCAGTGGTGCAGGTCAGAGGGCTAGACAATGAGCTGTGTCTAAAACAACCCTCGTCAGTGGTGCAGGTCAGAGGACTAGACTACGAACAGTGTCTAAAACAACCTTTGACAGTTAGGTCAGAGAGCTAGACAATGAACAGTGTCTAAAACAACCCTAGTCAGCAGTGCAGGTCAGAGAACTATACAACGAACAGTGTCTAAAACGACCCTCGTCAGTGGTACAGGTCAGAGTGCTAGACAACGAACAGTGTCTAAAACAACCTTTGACAGTTGGTATTCGATGAAGGGAACACAGAAACAATGCTGCCCAGGCCAAATTCCCCTCATCTTGCATCTTTTCTGAATTAGAACCCCTGTACCCCAAAAATTATGAACCTTCAATAACTCGTAATATTGATATTTTACCGTAGAATATATTATCACGTAACTAATTAATTATAGGTAAATGATGGACCGTTATGTAGATGTAGTTTAAAATCACAACAAACTGGAATCAGACATAATATATACCCTGGAGAAGAAGTGAGTAATTGTTTTTACTAGTAATTAGTAAGGGAAATGGATATACATGATGGAATACAATTAATATTTAGTGTACGAACAGCTCAGCACTAAAATACTTGATTAAAATGTATGTACTGGTACGAAGGATACAAATACACATTCCCTGTGTATATCTTCTGTTTAAACATACATTATGCAAGAGCTAAATCTGCCTATCGCAGCTCTTTCTTTAGGCCTGAAATCTTATCTAAATTATTAATTAGACATTAATTAACCTATCCAGGCCATAATCAACTCTAGATGGCAGCGCTAGCCTGCGATCTTTAGTGGATTGTAAGCCGATTTACTGCATAACTTTCCTTCTCAATTAAACGATTAAATGGATAATCGAGACTATGCTGTTTATCATACTGACTTTAGTAATGATGAGCGAGGCTTATGGGAATTTCAGTCGCTTAGTTCTCGGTTCATAGTGGATCAATTTGAATGAAATTTTCACCAAATTGCCTTTACATTATCTAGTTTTTAACTATTATAGTGAGAACTGCCAACTCATTACCGAATCTCCCATAATGTATCTTTAATGAACTTCACCCAGTTATATGTTGCCCCAGATGGAATTTAAAATCATTTGGACTTTAAATCTGTAGTAACCATGGTACTACAGTGGTTTTCTACTCAGGTCATCATCTATTGTTTAAATATACATTATACAAGAGCTAAATCTGTCTATTGCAGGTCTTTCTTTAGCCCTGAAATGATTTCTAAATTATTAATTAGACATAGTTAAAACTAACATATCCAGACCATAATCAACTCTAGATGTCATCTTGTATGTCGGATTTTCACTGGATTTGAATCCAATTTGCTGCTCAACGCTCAGTTATCATGTAGTTGTGCTGTTTAAGTCAGAGTTTCTGTATTTAATGTTTAGTTTCAAACCATTGTTGGCAAATTCATGGAGAATCGTTAAAAAATATTGGGTTCCTACTGTCCTGTAGTTTAAAATGGTCGATCTATATTAGATAATGAGTGACGGGTATACAACTGTTTACTTTTACAAGCCCGTCTTCATTAGCCAGTTCGGAGCAAAACAGTAGGACGTTAAACCCCCATTTCATTTCATTTCATTTCATTTCAATAATTAACAGACTAATAGGTTGATAAAAACAAAAGGCGTTTTTATCGACCACTGATTAGCCAAAGTGATTTGCATTCAATCAAATTTTCATCTGTAACGTCCATCCACTGATTTCTGAAGTGATTACCACAAATCGCCAAATCACCTCTAGGTGCGATTTGACAATTTGATCAGGTAATCACATATTTTTTTCACCAATGTCCAGCCACAAGAATTGTTTACAGCTAATCGGCACATTTAACGCACTCGCCGAGTACTTTTCAATCAACTATACTGCCACGTCACCCCAAAATTCAAATCGATTTGGTAAGTCGATAAAAAAAGCCTAAAATCTGGTATATAACACTGCCGGCAACTTGTTAAACCCCTTGTGCATCGCTGAGATCCCAGTTTAGATGTCCTCCAGCTACTAGCTTCCAGCTACTTCGGACTATTCGTACGAGAGTTATTGTCGTTTTCCTCCGCTTGTTAAAGATCTCTTGACAGTAGCATGGCATATGTGACCGGTGACAGCCAAATGAGTCACTTGGGGTAAAAAATAATATTTGAGTTATGCATATATTCAGAAAGTACATGTTATAAGCTTTTCAATGATATATAAAATGTAAAGATTGGATGAAAATTAAAAAAGTTATGCACAAACAATTTGGCAGATGAAAATGGCTAGTTTTTATGAAAATTCTTTTGTTTTTAGCATTAATTTTAATGACACTACTTACAAAACACCCAATTTACACACTAAATTAATTAAATATTTAAATTTGTCTGGATTACTCCAATAATTGACAAGTTAAAGCATCGGATTTCGCAAAAAAATTTTTTTTTAAATCAAGCTCTGGTAGCTATTTTACATCGTAGCGTTAAATGAGCATGTCCGACTTCTGACTCATTTGGCTGTCACCGGTCACATATGTCTATCTTCTGGCGCAGAAAATTAAGATGTTAAACTCCATCTGTTTCATTCTGTTTCATTATTATATAATGATGAATATGTGATATTTACAGGAAATAACTATATGTGATATGGGTAGCAATAATAAAGATAAACTCTTTCATTATCGTGTTGCTATGTCTCCACCTACCAACTTTCTAGTAAGTATATTAATACTTTCGCTTTAGCATAATATGATCATTTTACGTCCATTCTTATTAAGGAGCCACAATGGCTCACAGGATATGCTGTTGGCTCCAGGTTCGATCCTGATGTCTGTTGATAATCATGAATATATGATATATATACTATTCAAAAAAAGTAGGGGATATTTGATTTTGGGGGCATAATACTAAAATATGCAAATGACTACGAAAAAAGTCACTATAGAACCTAACAGAAGAAACATTTCCAGTTACATGTGACGCCCAAACGCACCAATAGCTACCGCATGGAATGCAGGTGATGCTTGGGATCATCATGGGGGTCCAACCCAAGATTTGCACGACTCTGACTTTGAATGTTACAGTCATTGTGGCATTGAATTCCAGGGTGGAAACATCAGTTTAATTGTTTTAGTGACCAGAAAACAAATTTTGATATGCGTCGGCTTACCCAAAATGAAAGGTTACGTGCCCTTGGCATGCTACAGATCGGCACAACACAGGCGGTTGTGGCGCGGACGATGAATGTTTCTCAGTCTGTCATAAGCAGGCTATGGTCCAGATACCGTGATACACAATCTGTACAGGACAGACCACGCTCAGGTCGACCAAGGGCGACAACTCAAGCCCAGGATCGATTTATCCGTACCTTGGCCTTGAGAAATCGTGTCATCACAGCAAATCAGATCAGCGCTCGTCTTCAAACAGACACTGGTGTGAGAGTGAGTGGCCAGACGATTCGGAATCGACTGCATAGGGGTCACCTTCGCGCCCGACGTCCTCGCGTGATCCCTTGTTTGAGAGATCATCACATTCAGGCAAGACGTCGTTGGTGTAGGGATCATCAACACTGGGATAATCGACGCTGGAGCAATGTGATGTTTTCAGATGAGTCAAGGTTCACTGTTGATTTTTTGGACAGACGTAGGAGGGTGTGGCGTCGTCGAAACGAGCGCTTCCAAGACGTTAACGTCATCAGACATGATCGATTTGGGGGTGGTTCTGTTATGGTGTGGGGAGGCATCACTGTTGCTGGAAGAACGGCTTTACATGTTGTTGCAGGGTGTGTTACAGGCCAGTACTACCGGGACAACATCTTGGCAGTCCATGTTGTGCCGTTCGCACGACGTCATGGCCGCCGTTTCATCTTCGAGGATGACAACGCAAGATGTCACAGGGCCAGGATCGTTACAGGTTACCTCCAACAACAGAACATCACCACGTTACCTTGGCCAGCACTGAGTCCCGACCTCTCCCCCATCGAGCATGTCTGGGACATGCTTGGACAGAGGTTACGTCAACGTCAACAACGTCCTGCCAATGTCCAAGAACTTGCTGCCGCGTTGCAACAGGAATGGGACAATCTGGACCAAAATGACCTTAGACGTCTCATTAGGAGTATGCCACGTCGGATCAATGCTTGTTTGGCAAACAGAGGAGGATTTACCCGTTACTGACTTGGTTGTGATGCTGTGGTAACTTTGCTGTTTGACCCCGGGTATCATTTTACCCTTATAATGGTCAGTCCGTGCCTTACTTAGTCTAACGATCATTTGGAATAAATCGATGAATGTGAACTTCATTTCATTTTGTCATTTGTTTCTCCGTCAGTTTCATTAGGTGACTTTAATAACACTTAAAAATCAAATATCCCCTACTTTTTTTGAATAGTATATATTTACTAAGGGGGAGAGGGCAGGGAATGGTCTAACAAATGCACTTTAGATCATAAGGCCTGTGATTGAGTCCAGTTGAACAGTTTCAATCCCAAGGTTATACGTTAGAAGGGGTAGGGTCAGATCGCCTGCCTATCCTCATGGATTATCTCTGTGGCTTCTTGGTTCCTCCCACTGCTAAAGATTCCTACACACAACCCAATTGTTGAAATAAAATTGTACCATATGTTAAATACACCAGTATTTCCCTTCTTCTATATTTATGCCAATTAACTCAGTGTGCAGTTTTATTTTCTGTTCTTAAAATGTATTTATATATTTCAGACTAAATGTCCAACTATTATAGAATTTGATAATCATGAATATATATTTGAAGGCTTCTCAATCTTCTCCCATTATCAACTTGAAAAGGTAAAACATTATTTTTTTATCCTTATTGTCGTTGAAATTCAGAGTCATTTTAACAGTTATAGACCGGAGGCTCAGTGCAGGCCAGTGTCCATCAAATGGGCACAAAATCAGACCCAACTTTTCTAAAGTAAAATTTTGCGTAGAATGTGATGCCGAGTGGTAATCAGTCTGCCGTTGGGGCGTTTTCGAGATATTCGGGGTCAAAGAACAAATGAGATCATTTGCACTGAAAGTGAATGCGCAGCCATTCTTATATCATGAAAACATGCTGAAATTGATCGAAAGTAATCGCTCTTTCAATATAAATGTAAACTTGCTAAATTTCACCTTTGTTCTTTGTGACCAGGGAAGTCAAAAGGTCAAGTTTCCCATTTTTGCACTAGGAAGATTTAGAGCAATAAAATGTCAGCGTAAAATATAAAAACTAAAGCGAAACATGTTCTAATTAATAATAGAAACATTGAAAACTTATCTTAAGGTGGTCTTAGCACCGTACATTTACTTTGGAACGTCGAAAAAGATCTTGCATAACAGAACCAAAACACTTCGAAACCCGTTTCAAAAATTTAAGATAGCATCCAAGATGGCTATCATTATAGTGTAAAGGTTTCTGAGAGTACATTGTGAAAAATTATCCTAAATTATTCAATAAAATTTTATCTGTGACGTCTTCTTAAATATATATATACACAACACGTCGTATATTGTTTTTTTTTCTAGATGCCAATTTGTCGTGTAATAAGATTTAATATAGAATATACCATACATTTTATACAAGAACCAATACCAGAGGTAAATTACTAATTTTTACATGTATAAATGCTTTATTTTCATTTAATAATTCTGAAAGAGCACATACCTTATAATACAGATGTGACATCATCCTTTGATGTTGGCGTACCATTGATTCAAAGGTGCCAATTATATGTTATCTGTGGCTCAGTGAGTAGGATGTTGGCTGGCTAATTCTAGGTTGGCTAGGTTGTTTGATGCCTGTGTTGGCCGAGAAAATTTATCGTGATTTTCCGGCATGGTTCCTTCTTACCAGTGATGTGGGACAGAGGGCCTGGCAAGTGACAACATATAGTCATTCGGATGCTGCAAAGAAACTGATGTCCCGTGTACACATTGGCGTGCACGTAAAAGATTCATTGACTATTTGAATTCAAAATAAGAGTAGGCCGTAGTGCCTCTGTCCTGGCAAAATTTCCCTCATAGCACACTGTCCAACCTCTTGGGGTTTCTCCAGGTCCTCTGTGTTCCTCCCACTGCTAAAGACCCCTACACGCAAGCAAATTATTGAAATAAAATTGAACCATATGTTAGTCCCGAAATGACCTGGTTTGTGTTGAGTGGAGGCTAAACCCCATTTCTCTCTCTCTCTCTCTCTCTTTAGAAGTGGGAAGAAACCAGGGAGCCATGGTGGCTAAGTGGGTAAGACAATGGCTTGCTAGACTGGAGGTCGCCGGTTCGCTCCCGGTTTTGGTCAAGAAAATGCAACGCGATTTCCCAACGTGGTTTCCCCTTGTCAGTGGTGCATGACAGAGGCCCTGATAATGGCAACTGTCGGATGGGATGAAAAAACGAAGTCCCTTGTACCTATTGGTGTGCACATAAAAGGTCCCCTGTCAGTTGGAATTCAATATAAGAGTAGGCCGGGTTTAAATTTTCCTCATGGCAAATTGTCGTCTTCAATAGCCCATTCGAAGCAGAACAGTAGGACGTTAAACCCCAGTTTATTTCACTTCATTTTGATCTGAATTGATAATCAGTGAATATAACAACCAACAGCGCCTTTGAAACTGTTCTTCAGAATTAACACGCTTTATAAATGACGATATTATTATTATTTTGTTTCAGAACTATACTGTCAGATCTTTAGACTTGTTTACCCAGTATTTATTCAATGAGATATTAGAGTTAATGGATATTGATTGGAGAGGGCCTGGAAGTAAGAGTACAAGTGCTTGTCATATCATGCATTTAATGCCCAGATTCTCCAGATCTCTTCCAGGTAAACTTTATAAGTAAATTCTTGAATGAATGAATGAATGAATGAATGAATGAATACAATGGAGTTTTACATCCTATTTTTCTGTTCCAACCGGGTTAATGAAGACCGCCAGTGTTAAAGACACCTATGTGCAAATGAATTATTGAAATATAAAATTGAACCATATGTTAGTCCCAAAATGACCTAATTTCTGTCAAGTTGATGTTTAATCCCATTTCTCTCTTTCTTTTTTTTTCTTTTTTTTTCCCGTGGCTAAGTGGGTACAACGCTGACTCTCTAGCCTGGAGGTCGGGTGTTCGATCCCTGCATTGGCTGAGAAAGTTCATCCAGATTTTCCGGCAAGGTTCCCCCTTGTCAGTGATGCAGGACGGAGGGCCTGACAAGGACAGCTGTCTAGTCGTTCGGATGGGACAATAAACCGAGGTCCTGTGTACACATTGGCGTGCACGTAAAAGATCCCTTGACAGTTGGAATTCGATATAAGAGTAGGCCGCGGTGCCGTCCGGGCAAAATTTCCCTCATAGCACACTGTATGGCGTATGCCCGTCGTCATTAGCCCAGTTTGGAGCAGAACAAAACCCTATTTCATTTCATTCTTTTTTCCCTCCATTCATATATTTGAAATTTTTTTTTGTAGAAAATGGTAAAGAAGTTTTATCTATGAATGAAGTTTTGTCATTCCTGATTAAAAGTTCCAAACTATTAATAGATCCTGTCAAGTTGCCACGGTTACTAGAACTAGATGTTAGTGACTGGCAAAACTTTATAGATGCTCATCGTGGGATGATTGTCTTCTACCCAGGCAAGGTAGGTTGTACATTGGATCAGAAGGTCTTTCATTGAGTCAAGTGGTGTGGTTTCAATTCCCTGCTTGTACCTGACAAGGAGTAGGGTAGCCCATCCAATCTTATGTTTTCTCTAGGTCCTCCGATATCCACCCACTACTAAAGACCCTTACACACAATCGAATTATTGAAATAAAATTGAACCATATGTTAGTCCTGAAATTACCTAGTTTGTGTTGAGTGGACGTTAAACCCCATCTCTCTGTCTCTCTCTGTCTTTATAACAGTAAGTGCAGGAGAACTGCACTACACACAAACAAAACCAATAAGACAACCTGTGGACAAGACAAACTACACAGATATTGAAAGAAATAAACAACAAAATATCAAATCAAGTTAATGGTTCTGGTGGCAAGTCGTAAGCATCCACTGCGCAGTACAGTCCCAGGCCTGCAATAATACAGGCTTCACTCAAAATGAAAAACAATTATCATTTACAAAAATGGCACTGAACATTATATAACTAATTTATCTTTTGTCTTCTCAGCCGTTTCTGAACGGAGCTAGATGAAACTTGACCAGGACATTTTTTGAAACGTTCCCAAAGCATTGAGTAGTAAATTTTTAAAAATTTAGAACATGGGCCGAAAGCAACTATTTGGGCCATTCTGCTATCAAGCGTTATTTCTCAGCTGTTGATGATCGGAAACAGTCATTCAACTTGATGAACCTCACTTGAACCACACATTTGTTTGAGACAGAATCAAGTTTTTTAATTTATTTCATTTCTATTGTTTCAGCGTCCATGTGCCCTTCGAATAGATCAACTGGATCGTAAACAGGAAAATCCTGATGTTAAAACATTTCCTTTAATTATTCACTTTGGTTCCCGTCCAGCACAGCTTAGTTATGTAGGAGATCCAGCGTAAGTAATCGACACAAAACGATTGTCAAATTATACTGAGGTATACTCACTGTTAAAGTCTGTGTTCGTCATTTGCAGTTTCAGAATATATCAAATTTTCCATGGCTTAAATTTATTGAAATTGCACTGTAACTCTGGTATCACGTAGTTGTGCTGTTTTAGTAGGAGTTTCTGGTTTTAATGTTTAGTTTCAAACCATTGTTGGAGAACTGTTCAAGTTCATTGAGAATCATAGAAAACTATTTGGTTTCTACTGTCGAATAGTTTAAAAAATTTTGTCTAGATTAGATAATGAGTGTTGGGTTTACAAGTGTTTATTTTCTCAAAAGGTGTTGAGTAATTAACAGACTAATTAATTGCTCAACACTACTTAGAGAAACTCTGGCTACAGCACAGCTACATGATAACCAAGTTATAGTGTTTTGTTTATAACTGTGTCATGTTTTGTTTATAAATGTGTCATGTGTTTATAATTGTGTCATGTTTTGTTTATAACTGTGTCATGTGTTTATAACTGTGTCATGTGTTTATAAATGTGCCATGTGTTTATAAATGTGTCATGTTTTTTATAAATGTGTCATGTGTTTATAAATGTGTCATGTTTTGTTTATAACTGTGTCATGTTTTGTTTATAAATGTGTCATGTTTTGTTTATAACAGATATCAGAGATTATGGAAACAGTATATTAAATTTCGTCATCTGTTATCAAGTAAACCAAAAGTTTCCGCCAGTGATAAAATAAAACTCAATCTAAAAGAACAAGCTTTACAAGAATTACGAACCAAAAGGTAAAACATATTGTTTATTATTTTAAACTCTATGCATCTGTTCCCACTAGTGTCGCAAACCGCATGTGACGTGAATAAATGTGAATTATTTAAGGACTGTATACACTGTAAGACTGGTATCTTAAAACAGAGTTTTTACCGCTAGAAAGTATGCATATAGTTTACTTTCAAAACATCATTTGATAATTGATAAAAATCGTTTGAAAATTACAAAAGTGGTTTAGTTAGTACTATGGTTTAATTTACTTGTTCTGTGATTGGGGTGGTTTGAGTCAGTCTATAACTGAATAGTAGTTTTGAGTGGTTTCGAAAATGAGCCATGGACAACCTTTACCACACAAAAATGTGGTCCCCCCCCCCTTGTCATGGTGTAGGATGGAAGGCATGACAAGGGGCAACATATAGTCGTTAGGATGGGACAAAAAAACAAGGCACTGTGTACACATTGGCATGCATGTAAAAGAACCCTTGGCAATTGGAATTCTATATAAGAGTAGGCCGTAGCAAAATTATCCTCACATCACATTGTATCGTGTATGTCGTCTTCATTAGCCCAGTCAGAGCAGAACAGTAGGACGTTAAACTCCATTTCATTTCATTTTAGAAGAGGATACAAAGAATAGATTTTCCACACTCTAAACTAGTGTGTGTTCATTTTCACCTTGTCTAATTATTATTATTATTTTAATTATATTTATATTGTTTTATTAATTAGTACAATGAAGAGAGAAGTTACAGTAGAGATAAGTTCTGAGGGTTTTATTTGTACAGGTTTAAAAGCTGATATCAGTCAGGTGAGACAGATATACTTTCTATTATATAACCTAATGCATATTGGCTGTGGCCATTATGCGGCGAGGAAGCCATGGTGGCTAAGTGAGTAAGACGCTTGTCCGCTAGCAAAGGAGGTCGCGGGTACATTCCCAGTGTTGGCCGACAAAGTTCATTTTCGGCGTGATTTCCCATTGTCAACGGTGCAGGACAGAGAGGAGAGCCTGACAAGGACAGCTGTCTAGTCATTCAGATTGGACGAAAAACCAAGGTCCTGTGTATACATTTCCGTGCACGTAAAAGATCCCTTGACAGCTGGAATTCAAACAAAGAGTAGGCCGTAGTGCCGCTGTCTGGGCAAAATTTCGCTCATAACACCCTGTTGGATGTTAAACCCCATTTCATTTCATTCCACACCGATTTTTATTAAAATATTAGAGCATACATCTCCAATGTGTATTAAACGACATAGTCATAAGAGTTGGGTGTTTTGAGTCTAAATAAGCATTTTTATTACCAGCTTACGACTTGGGCGAAACAGGATGACTCAGATCCACCTGTACGCCTTTTTCACACTTTCTCATTGAAGCCTGAAGAGTTGTCTTTTTCTCTCTCTCTCTCTCTGTCTCCCCCTCCCTCCATCTCCCTCCTCTTAAGTCTAAACCCCTATAGCAAAATATTGATATAACATATTATCATATCTTAGTCCCAATATGACCCAGTTTGAGTGAACATTAAACCTGGTTCTTTCTATCTTCCTGCCCAGCTGGAAAAGTGAGGCAGTGATGTGGAGCTCACATGTTATCAAATTTATAAATATGAAGAAGAGCTACCAGATAAAGTCAGCTCTATGAATTTGATTATTATATTTTTCAGCATGCGATGTTGATACCTGTTTTACTAGGTCATCTACGTTTCCACAAATGTCTTTATGTCCTGGAGAAAGAAATAAATTATAAATTTAAAGATAGATATTTATTACAGGTAAGTGACTTGTTCTCGGTACATCCAATATTTATAGGTCTTTACACTGACCACCAAATTATTATTTTTTTCATTATGATTAAATTTTTTTTTGAAATATCGTTGAATAAATGTATCACGATTTACCTTCTCACGATTCGGGTAATTGAATTGTGAAAATCTGGTTCGATGTATCGCGATTCTTTTTTATGTGTTTTTGTTTTGTCACTTCTGTAACTAACCTGTCACTCTTAATTATCCATCACACATATTATCAATAGGTACACAAACACTCTTAAATTGATTTGGTCCTTATTTTGATCCACATCAATATCGTGATATTAAACAGTTTTATTTCTATGACATAAATAATACACTGTATCTAATTTGGCATGAGAAATAGTGATCTTCATCATCATTGAATTGTGTTATTATTAATTATTTGCATTATCTATATTTGAAATATAGCTAGACCAGCGAGCTCTTAATCTAAATTTTACATAATGCCCCTTTAATATTTGTTTCAGTTGGCTTTAACTCATACCTCATACAGAGTTAATTACGGCACCAATCCTGATCACGCTCGTAATTCACTGGCTAATGCTGGCAGACGACAAGTTGAGTATGGTAGCAGAAAGGTTCTCATGCAAAATACCAGGAAAAGAGGTTTGATGTTTTCTTCTTCGTATCGGCACTAATACCTGCTGATTGTCTTTTAAGGCATTTTGAGCCACTGTAACCCAGGTATCATTTAATCTTGTGTATCTAGCACTAATGTCTTTCACATCCGTTTAATCTTTGTTTAAAAATTCTTAAAAATCATTTTAAATAACCCAAGATCATCTAATTTGTACTTGTGTCCAGTTTAAAGCTGACTGATTAATTCTGATAATGAGTGTTCAATTTACAAGTATTTAATTTCCTGACCACTGTTTTAAAATTAATCATTATACATCAATAATCAATTGATTTGTTTATTATTTAACAGTGGTCGAGAAATTAAACGCTTGTAAATTGAACACTCATTATCAAAATTGAATGGTTAATACACAAAATTAAATGATACCTGGGTTACAGTAATAATATTGTGGAAGTTGGAGCTTTAAAATGAATTTCAATCCAAAAATGGTTTATTTCCATTTACTATTTAGAAATGATGAATTGAAAATGAAAAGGTAATACCAGTCAAAAAAATGGTTTAGTTCCATTCAGTATTTACAAAGATGTGATGGGTGGGAGCGTATATGGCTTGGAGATAGGGGCACCTTCTCAACCCTGTGGTTAGCACGCACCCGCTGTATCATGCGGTCTATCATTGAGTCAACTGGCGGGGTTTCGATTCCCAGGTTGTACGTAACAAGGAGTAGGGTCGCCTGTCCAACCTTGTGGGTTTTCTCTGGGTCCTCCGATTTCCTCCCACTGCTAAAGACCCCATACGCGCCAGCGCATTTTTGAAATAAAATTGAACCATGTGTTAGTCCCGAAATAAGCTAGTTTGTGTCGAGTGAACGTTAAACCCCATTTCTCTCTTGCTCCACCCTTTGGGTTTAAATATTCATATAGTTTTAATATTTGTTTAAGGTTTAAATATATTAATTGATATTATTTGTTTTAGGTTTAAATATATTAATTGATATTATTTGTTTTAGGTTTAAATATATTAATTGATATTATTTGTTTTAGGTTATATTAATTGATATTATTTGTTTTAGGTTTAAATATATTAATTGATATTATTTGTTTTAGGTTATATTAATTGATATTATTTGTTTTTTTGTTTTAGGTTATATTAATTGATATTATTTGTTTTTTTGTTTTAGGTTATATTAATTGATATTATTTGTTTTAGGTTTAAATATATTAATTGATATTATTTGTTTTAGGTTTAAATATATTAATTGATATTATTTGTTTTAGGTTATATTAATTGATATTATTTGTTTTTTTGTTTTAGGTTATATTAATTGATATTATTTGTTTTTTTGTTTTAGGTTATATTAATTGATATTATTTGTTTTAGGTTTAAATATATTAATTGATATTATTTGTTTTAGGTTTAAATATATTAATTGATATTATTTGTTTTAGGTTTAAATATATTAATCGATATTATTTGTTTTAGGTTTAAATATATTAATTGATATTATTTATTTTAGGTTTAAATATATTAATTGATATTATGTCTAGAATGGGTAAAGGAGAAGAAACCTTGTCTGAGATTCCACACAACGAAAGATTGGAATTCCTTGGTGATGCAGTGGTCGAATTCTTATCAAGGTAGATACATAACTATAATAAATTGTTCACAATATATCTATTATAATCCTTCCCTTGAATGTTTTTATGAAATGGTTGGATGGTCAAATGATCTAATGTGCATGTTTTACTTCTCTAGAGTGTAATTGAATCAACAGCCATGATTTTGACCCTAGGTTTGTATGTAATAAGTGGGGTAGGTGGCCGAATGGTCAACGCGTGCACGTTTGATCATAAGGTCTGCCATTGAGTCAGATGTCATGGTTTCAATTCCCCGCTGGTAAGTGACAAGGAGTAGGGTCACCTGTCCAACCTCATGGTTTTTCTCCGGTTTCCTTCCACTGCTAAAGTTCCCTACGCGCTACAGAATTATTGAATTGAATTAGGACCATGTTAGTCCTGAAGTGACCTAGTTTGTGTTGAGTGGACATTAAAACTCATTTCTTTCTCTCTTGTATGTAACAAGGAGAAGTGTTGCCTACCTAACCTTGTGGGTTCTCTCTGAGTCCTCCGGTTTCCCCACTGTGGCTAAAGACTCCCAACATGAAGCAAAGCTTTGAAATAAGGTTACCAAATGTTTGTCCTGAAATAAGGTTATTATATGTTTGTCCTGAAATAAGGTTATTATATGTTTGTCCTGAAATAAGGTTACTGTATGTTTGTCCTAAAATAAAGATTACCATATTTTAGTCCTGAAATAAAGATTACCTTGTTAGTCCTGAAATAAAGATTACCTTGTTTGTCCTGAAAAAAAGGTTACTATATGTTAGTCCTGAAATAAAGATTACCATGTGTTAGTTCTGAAATAAAGATTACCATATATTTGTCCAGAAATAAAGATTACTATATTTGTCCTGAAATAAGGTTACCATATGTTTGTCCTGAAATAAGGTTACCATATGTTAGTCCTGAATTAAGGTTACCTTATGTTTGTCCTGAAGTAAAGATTACCATATGTTAGTCATATGTTAGTCCTGAAATAAAGGTTACCTTATGTTTGTCTTGAAATAAAGGCTACCATATGTTAGTCCTGAAATAGTGTTATTATATAGTAAGTGCAGGGGGACTGCATCTCACAAAATTTACACAAAAACAAATACACGGACAGGACATCATACTCAGGAAAACACAAACATAATGACAATTCAAAAAAAGTGAATGGAGTCCTGAAATAAAGGTTACTATATGTTAGTCCTAAAAATAAGGTTACTATATGTTTGTCCAGAAATAACCTAGTATGTAATGGTTGGACATTACAAGTTGTTACATGGTGATTGTTCTACATATATCTTGTGTAAACTATATACACAGTCTTTCTTCTTCTTGCAGTGTTCATCTATTTTATATGTTTCCATGGTTAGAAGAGGGAGGATTATCAACATACAGAACAGCCATAGTACAAAATCAACATCTGGCTATTCTAGCAAAGGTACAACAAATTAATTAACCCATATAAAGTTTTACGACTCAACTCTTTGGACCCCCCCCCCTCTTGATTCGCCTCTAGATAGTGCCACTATCATGAAAAACTTCCCTTATAGCACACTGTATTGCACAGGCCTGTCCTCATTAGTCCTGTTGGTCTCGAAAAGTAGGACGTTAAACCCCATTTCATTTCATTTTGTTTATATTTCAGAAATTACGTTTACAAGAATTTATGATGTATGCTCACGGACCAGATTTATGCCATGAATATGATCTAAGACATGCTATGGCTAATTGTTTTGAAGCTCTCATGGGTAAGCATAACTAATTATATACTATTCATGGGTAAGCATAACTAATTAAATACTATTCATGGGTAAGCGTAACCAATTAAATACTATCCATGGGAAAGCATAACTAATTAAATACTATTCATGGGTAAGCACAACTAATTTATGCTCTTATGGCTATGGGTAAGCATAAGTTATTTCTATGTAGGCAGCCACACAGTGGTTAAGTGAATAAGACGCTGGCTCGCTAGCTTGGAGGTCGCAAATTCGATCCGGGTGTTGGCTGAGAAAGTTCATCAGGATTTTCCGGCGTGTTAACTGTCTAGTCATTTGGATGGAACAAAAAGCCGGGGTCCTATGGAAACATTGTCACACACGTAAAAGATCCCTTGGCAGTTGGAATTTGATATAAGAGTAGGCCGTAGCATTGTTGTCAGGGCAAAATTTCCATCATAGCACACTGTATGGCATATTGTGCCCATCTTCATTAGCCCAGCCAGAGCAGAACAGTAGGACGTAAAACCCCATTTCATTTCATTTCTTTTTATTTGTTGTTTGGTTTTTTTAGGTGCGTTATTTATAGATGGTGGTATAGAGTTAGCGGATAGAATATTTGGTGAAACATTGTTTGGTGATGACGCAGAGTTACTAGCTACATGGCGTGATGTACCCCATCATCCTCTACAGGAAGATCAACCAGACGGTGATAGACAGTGGATTGAATCTAGTCACATATTACAGGTATTAATATGAATAAGGAATCAGGTTATTGAAGATTGGCATATGGCATGCAATGTGATATACCATTATTTTCAACTGTTAAAGGGAGAGAGAGAAAAAGAAATGGGGTTCAATGTCCATCAACACAAGCTAGGTTATTTTGGGACTAACACTTGATTCAATTTTATTTGAATAATTCGCTTGTGCTTAGGGGTCTTTAGCAGTGGGAGGAAACCAGAGGACCTGGAGAAAACCCATGAGGTGGGACAGTCAACCCTACTCCTTGTCACGTACAACCGGGGAATCGAAACCAACGCCAGTTGATTCAATGACGCAGGTGCTAATCATTCGGCCATCCACCCCCCAACTGTTAAAGGAGGCAGGTCTCTAACTTAATATCATCCATAGTCTTTGACATTGCAAACACAACTTATTGGTCAATTTAAATCAACATTGATGTTGTTTTATTTACCATGAAAATATGGGCTTCTGATATCCAATATTTATGACAAAATGAAAATTTTAAAATTGACACTCGCATCGCGTGCCAGAATGCTTTCGAGTGCCGAACATAACTGATTAGAAATTAGAGTAAAAACAGAAACGATTGAATGTAAACCAGTTTATATACATTCATATTACATTATTATATGTGTTGCGACCAATTTGGGACGGGTGTTTGATCCCTGCATTGGCCGAGAAAGTTCATCCAGATTTCCCGGCGTGGTTTCCCCTTGTCAGTGATGCAGGACAGAGGGCCTGACAAGGACAGCTGTCTAGTCGTTCGGATGGGACGAAAAACTGAGGTCCCGTGTACACATTGGCGTGCACGTAAAAGATCCCTTGACAGTTGGAATTCGATATAAGAGTAGGCCGTAGCACCGCTCCCCGGGCAAAATTTCCCTCATAGCACACTGTATGGTGTATACCCGTCTCCATATCGATGTGTCAGAACTTTTTTATCTGACATTTAGTAATTGAAAAATTACTAAATGCCACTTACCGAAGTTGATAATTGTTGTTTATTTCTTGCAATATCTATGTAGTTATAATTATTATTATTATTATTATTACCATAGATTTATATAGCGCCCTTTTCATAAAAATGTTAAAGGGCGCTTTACAATAAAATGATTATATGTAATGTAAAATGTAACTGTAAATTGAACATAAATTAAAAAACATTAAAATAAAGATAAGCCAAGGCCTAGAAGAAGTCTAAATAAATATGATATAGATATAAAACAAAATACAAAACAATTATTTAAAAGCAATATTAAATAAATACGTCTTCAAGCGTGTTTTAAAAATAGATAATGATACTTTGTCTTGTCCACAGGTTTGTCTTGTTTGTTTTGTTGTGCGTGTAGTCACTGTAGTGCGGTCCTCCTGTAAGAAACACACCCTGAATTAATTTCTGCATTTCTTACTTATAAACATATCTTTATATTTCAGAAATTACTCATGTTTGAAGAATCAATTGGTGTAGAGTTTGATCATATTCGACTGTTAGCTCGAGCTTTTACTCCTAGAAATGTTGGATATACCAATCTAACACTGTAAGTTATACAATAATTATCTGAATATTTGTGACATGATCTGGATAAATATTGTAAATATTTGGTGTTCAGTTACGACATGAAACTTCTTTATTGAAATGTTAAATAATCAATTTTATTCAATTTTATTCAATTAAAGCTGAACTCTGATTACAAAACTACAGAAATAATTAAATAAAAAAAATAGTTTTTCTGGTTTTTTTAGAGCAAAAGTACATCATGGTTGACTTTTTTATACGCCCACATTTTCATGTGGACGTATATTGTCGTTGCCCCCGTCCGTCCGTCCACAATTGTTTGTGAACAGTCTACAGGTCACAATTTTTATCCGATTTCAATGAAACTTGAAATATAGGTTTATCACCCTAAGATCTCGGTTCCTTTCGATATTGGCATGTATCGGACTGTAACTTCATGGATTATGGCCCCTGATTGTACGAAAAATCACACTTTTAGCTTGTGAACACTGTAGAGGTCACAATTTTTAACCAATTTAGTTTAAACTTAAAGTGTATGATTATAACCCAGAAAACTCGGTTCCTTCCGATATTCGCGCATACCGGACCGTAACTTCCTGAATTATGGCCCCTGATTGTACGAAAATCGCATTTTTAGCTTGTGGACCCTATAGAGGTCATAATTTTTATCCGATTTAAAGAAACGTATTATTATATCACCGTTACACCCTAAGGATGACTGAGTTCGAATTTCGTGAAAATCGGCCCAAAATTGACAGACAAAATGGCCGCCGTTCGTTCTCAACTAGCGTAAAAATATGGTATATCAAGGTTGTGGACCCTATAGAGGTCACAATTTTTATTCGATTTTGTTAAAACTTGAATTGGAAGTTTATAACCCAAAGATCTCAGTTCCTTTCGATATTCGCGCATATCGGACTGTAACTTCCTGAATTATGGCCCCTGATTGTACGAAAAATAGCGATTTTAGCTTGTGGAGCCCATAGAAGTCATAATTTTTGTCCGATTTATCTGATTGTACGGAAAATCACTTTCTTTTTAGCTTGTTCTCTATCCATCTCTCGAAAATGTGGGCGTATCCTGCCTGGCAGCCGCTGGTTTGTCTAATTCGTAAAATAATATGTACCTGATCAGACATAATAATTGTGTAGCAATAATATTTTTAGTAAGCCTATATTAGTGATAGTGAAAAAGCTTCAATCAGTCAGGAGGTAATTGGTAGTTGACTAGCTAACCGCTGTGCACACTTTGCTTGACACGGCATATACTGAATGTGTTTGTTCTACAAATTAAAAACAAGTATGGGGGTTGTTTAGGGCGTTAACTTTTTCTTATTTAATTATTTCTATAGTTTTGTAATCAGAGTTCAGCTTTAAGTCGAGAAAAATTGTCAAAAAATGTAAATGGGGATCAATGGCTTCAAACATATGTAAATGAAGCATGAAAGGATTTGAAATGCAGCCCTCTTTTAATGGATGACTGATAAAGAAATGATGTAAAGAAAGTATATGTTATAATTTTACAGGGGTCATAATCAAAGATTAGAGTTTTTAGGTGATACAGTATTACAGTTAATAGCTTCTGAATACCTCTTTAAACATTTTCCTGAACATCATGAAGGACATTTAACAGTAAGTAACATAAATAGTTTTTCTCAGCAGACATAATGTGAATCTAGAATGGCCATTTCCATAACCACTAACTCTTACCCACCATGTCTCCCTCCAACCCTCTCCCGACCCACCACCCTTCCAACCATTTTGATCCATTTACTAAAAGTTGATATCTTACCATTAACTGCAAAAGGCCACTCTTACATTATTATTTGAATGCAAAATGTCCACTTCATGACCTCACAATTGCCATGACTCTCCCCCCCCCCCCCAACTATCCGTATTTCAATCAATATATACCTAGATTGCCTGAAACCAACTGGCATGTGTTCACATCTATTCATGTGATTCTCGAGTATTACGATGCTAAAGGGAGCTTTAGTTTCAGTTGGTCAAGTGCTAATGGTTTAACTCAACTTGTTACCATGGTAATATATAATGGCCTTTCTGATATAATGGGTTAACTCAACTTGTTACCATGGTAATATATAATGGCCTTTCTGATATAATGGGTTAACTCAACTTGTTACCATTGGTAATATATAGTGGCCTTCTTATATAAAGGGTTAACTCAACTTGTTACCATTGGTAATATATAATGGCCTTTTTGATATAAAGGGTTAAACTCAACTTTTTACCATTGGATAGAAACTCATATTATATAAAGGATGATTGTTTTGTATATTTCAGTTATTACGGAGTTCTTTAGTTAATAATCGTACGCAGTCTATTGTGTGTGATGATCTGGGTATGACAGAGTATGTTATATATGACAGACATATCCGTGATAAAGGACTACTTAAAACTAAAGAAAAGGCTGATTTACTGGAAGGTTTGTTGGAACACTGTAATCAGGGTTTCGTTTAATCTTGTTTATTTAGCACTGATTTCTTTCGCATTCATTCAATATCAAATCCTTGTTTAAAAATTCTCAATAATCGTGTAAAATTACAAAAATACATCTAATTTGTACTTGTGTCCAGTTTAAAACGGGTCGGGTGTTCGATCCCTGCATTGGCCGAGAAAGTTCATCCAGATTTTCCGGCGTGGTTCTCCCTTGTCAGTGATGCAGGACGGAGGGGCTGACAAGGAAAGCTGTCTAGTCGTTCGGATGGGACGAAAAACCGAGGTCCCGTGTACACATTGGCGTGCACGTAAAAGATCCCTTGGCAGTTGGAATTCGATATAAGAGTAGGCCGTAGTGCCGCTGTCCGGGCAAAATTTCCCTCATAGCACACTGTATGGCGTATGCCCGTCTTCATTAGCCCAGGTTAGGAGCAGAACAGTAGGACGTTAAACTCCATTTCATTTCATTCCAGTTTAAAACTGACCATTCAATTTTGACAATGAGTGTCCAATTTACAAGCATTTAATTTCTTGATCACTCTTAAAAAATAAACAACCCAATTGATTGTTGATTAATTTTTGAACAGTGGTCAGGAAATTAAAATGGTAAATTGGACACTCATTATCAAAATTAATCAGTCAGCTTTAAACTGGATACGAGTACAAATTAGATGATTTTGGGTGAATTTAAATAATTTTTACGAATTTTTAAACAAAGATTTGATATTGAACAAATGTGAAAAAAATTACTTTATAAATATTGAATCTCAAAAATATGGGGGATTAGCTGGTCGAGTGGCCTAGCATGTACGCTTTAGATCATAAGGCCTGTCAATAAGTGAAGGGTTGTGGTTTGATCCCAAAGCTTGTACGTGACATGGAGTAGGGTCACCTGCCAAACCCCATGGGATATCTTCGGGTCCTCCAGTTCCCTCCCACAAATTATCAAATAAATTTGAAATAATGATACACCAACATCAAGGATGACGTCACCTCTGTTTTTTTAAATGTTTAACACACACTATGCAAAAGCTAAATCTGCCCATTGCTGTTCTTTATTTAGGCCTTAAATGTTATATAAATCAACTCTGATGGTGTGTCCATTTATTATCTTAACAGTGGTAGCAATGACAATCAAGGCTACAATGTCCTTCTGACTGTGATAACTCAGAGGGAAGTAATTTGTTTGAAATTTTCAACATATTCTCTTTTTATTATCTATTTCTTACCTATTATAGCGAGAACTCTTTATTTAAAGGAGCTAAGTCGCTAATATTTGGGACCTAGAAATTGACACAAATGGGTTGCAACGCATACAATAATGTAATATGAATGTATATAAATTGATTTACATTCAATCGTTTCTGTTTTTACTGTAATTTCTAATCAGTTAGGTTCGGCGACATACACCAGTATTCTCAATTGAATCTCAATCTCTAGCTTCTGGTTATTCCAGTCTAAGCCGATAGTATTTATTGGGCATGCTCTCCAGATAAGAATATAGCGTCACCGTTTGACATGCGACTTGTGGAATATGCCTAGCCTCGTTTTTCGAGTCCCTTATTACAAATAGCGCTGAAACGCATTATGGTACACGATTCGTGTACCAATTGTAAAATGTTTATTTTGTCTTAAATATTGGATATCAGAGGGCCATCTTTTCCCGGTAAGATCACAACATCAATGTTGATTTAAATCGACAAAGAAATCGTGTTTTCAATGTCGAAGATTTTAGATGATATTGAGTTAGAGACTTAGCTACTTTAATCTTACCTAATGCCCTTAGTATCATACCTTGCACCCTATAAGACAAATGGTTTCAATACAACACTCTGACCTTTATTTACACTGGCCTGCAATCTTAATAATTCCTTCAAAACAGACATGGTAAAATATAATTTCAACTTTTAATCTTTTTATTTCAGCATTTATTGGAGCATTTTATGTTGATAAAGATTTAGATTATTGTCGTGTTTTCTGTGATGTTTGTTTCTTCCCACGATTACAGGTAAATTATTTTAGGAACAAAATTTTTTTATTTTTTTGTTAAAATAATAGTTTATACAACATTTGAAGCCAAATAAAGACCAGTAATAGGCAAAATTAGCTTTTTCTTAATGCATCTGTAAGTACATGTATTGACTTTCAGTGATAATTTGTAGAAAATTTATTAATTTCTTTTTTGCTTTTAGGATTTTATTCTGAATCAAGATTGGAATGATCCCAAATCTCAGTTACAACAATGTTGTTTAACATTACGGGAATTAGATGGTGGGGAACCTGATATTCCAGTCTACAAGTAAGTGTTAGATTATCACATCATTAAAATATTAATTCATCGTCTTGTAAGTGTAGTACATATAATAGCAACTATGGATAGATTTATCTCAGCTGTATGAATTTGTTTTCCAGGCTATTTTCGATCACAGCTGTTGAGGAAATATATCATTAAATTGATTCATTGCCTTTTGTTTTGAAATACCAAAGTGGTGGTTGATTGTCAGTCAAGAACATTCCGAATTGACCATATTGCAACTAAGTATCAAAGAATTCCGTCCCGTCACATTGAAAGTAGGAATCTTCACCTATGCAATGGAATTCAGCTGTGATTATTAATCCAGTCTTATTTTTTAATAGGGTCATTGAATCTAAAGGTCCTACGAATACCAGGATGTATGTGGTAGCTGTTTACTTCCGGGGTGAAAGGTTAGCTACTGGTCAAGGTCACAGTATACAACAAGCAGAAATGTCAGCTGCTACAAATGCTATGAATGTAAGACAAGGTAGGCACAGGTTTTTTATAGGTTAAATCTATATAAAATATTACACAAGGTCAGTGCTAAAGCTTGCTCCTGTATATTGACAGTTGGAATTTGATATAAATGAAATAAAATGAAATGGGGTTTAACGTCCTACTGTTCTGCTCCTATACTGGGCTAATGAAGACGGGCATACGCCATACAGGTGCTATGAGAGAAATTTTGCCTGGGCAGCGGCACTATCGCCAGGGGGATCTTTTACATGCATTCCAATATATACATGGGACCTCGTTTTTTTGTCTCATTCGAAGGACTAGACAGCTGTCCTTGTCAGGCCCTCAGTCCTGCATTACTGACAAGGGGAAACCACGCCGGAAAATCTGGATGAACTTTCTCGGCAAATGCAGGGATAGAACACCCAACCTCTAAATTTGATATAAGTGTAGGTTGTAGTGCTACTGTCTGGGCAAAATTTCCCTCATAGCACACTGTATTGTACATGCCCGTCTTCATTAGCCTAGTCTTCATTAGCCTAGTCGGAGTTGGGGGGTCCATGTAGCTATGGATTAATTAGGTATTTCTAGGATATAGCTACTATTGCTTTATTGTTAAAAACCAGTAGTCTGCATATTACATGTATCTGAAACTTTTAACACCAGATATTTTTTAAAAAAAATTTTTTCCAGAGCTTTTCCCGATAATAATCCACCAAAAGAGATTTTTGGAAAGTCGTCACAGAAACTTCTCCAGATTGAAAGATGGCCGAGGTGATTCTTCCAGTGAATCAAGTCCGTCGTCAAGGAAACGTTCCAGATCTAGAAGTAGTGTGCGCAGAAAATAGGACAAGAAACCATTTTCATTCCATGATAATTTTTGTTCTCGTTCACTGAGACTATTATGATTATTATTTGTCTCTTGCTTGGGGGTGGTCAAGGGGTCTGACGTGTGCACTGTAGATCATAAGGTCTGTTAATGAGTCAAGTGTCATGGTTTTGATCCCAAGCTTGTATGTGACAAGGAGATGGATCGCCCACCTAACCTCGTGGGTTTTCTCTGGGCCTCTTGTTTCCTCCCACTGCTAAAATTGAAATTGGTTTATATCAAATGGATGGTAAACCTCATCTCCCTTTTGCTATGAATCATTCTGGACAGTGTCAGTTTTTATGTGCCATCTTGAAATGGTCGTGAAATTAAGTATGATTGTGTTCTTCCTCTATTCGATACAAATGTGGCTTTCACTCAATATTTATAACCTGCCCTTGATTGGATCGAATGTTTAAAGAGTTTAATATGAATTGCACTGATCACAGTATTTTCTGCACATTAGAAATGGAATAGTAATTTATTGTTAAATTACAACATTTCCTTGCAGGACACCAAGATCTGACAATCAGTTTAAGTTATAACTAATTTTGTTGGAAATCCATAAAGGTTCCTAGTGCTAGTTTCAAACTCATATATTTATATGAGTACATGTGTTTCATATGAAAATCAGGATAATATTTCAAATTTATATTTAGTGCTCCATTTAATTAAGATCTTTTTTTTTTTGTATTATAAAGTGTATTATTTAATTGTTTTATATTTTGGATACATACATGTATTATGGTATATATTCCAGGCCTGGAAATAACGGTTTTAGATGTACCTGACAAAATGTCAGGCACTAATAAAATAGTACCCGACATGTATTAATAATATCAATAAAAAACATCAACAAAATGACAGGCACCAGAGGTTTTGTGCCTGACAAAACAATGTTATACAATCATTGATGTCCAGTGGAAAAATTGTGTAAATTGGATTATGACTTTCTGTAGTTATATCAAGTGATTTTTTGAATGGTTATAGTTTGAAGTCAATGTCATTTTGTATGTGGCTTTTTGTGTGGCTATATAAAGTGACCTTTTGTATGGTTATATAAAGTCAGTTTGTATGGTTATATAAAGTGACTTTTTGTATGGTTATACAGTGACTTTTTGTATGGTTATAAAGTGACTTTTTGTATGGTTTTAAAGTGACTTTTTGTATAAAGTGACCTTTTGAAAGGTTATAAAGTGACTTTTTGTATTTTTGTATGGTTATAAAGTGACTTTTTGTATGGTTATATAAAGTCAGTTTGTATAGTTATATAAAGTGACTTTTTGTATGGTTATAAAGTAACTTTTTGTATGGTAATACACAATGACTTAGTTGTATGGTTATATAAAGTGACTATTTGTATTGTTATATGAAATGACTCTTTGTATTGTTGTACTGTATCATTTTTCAAGTCACTGTTTGTATAGATATATAAAATGACCTTTTGTATGTGAATATCAAGTGTAAATGATTTTGTATCTGTGTTCAATTGCATACATGTGAAGTAGATTTAGTGATACTATAGTGCTATATTTTACACCTATTTATTTGTTAGTAAAATTTCAGTTCATTTGTATTATATAAACATTTCATTTAATTAAATGAAAGGCCATTTCACAACAGCATGTCATTTGTAGCATTCCAAAACCCTCCCATCGATATCTATTCCGTCTATGTCAAATAGCTTGTATGTTTCATGTGACTGTGGTACACACGACCACAATCAGACTAAAACACAGATCCTATTTCGTTTTGTTTTCTATAGTTCAGAATTTTGTTCTACTTGTCTTTGCTACACTAGGATCTGGAAGAGTTGTTATCATTGACGTGTTCTGGATGATGTGAGCAATTAGCCAATGAAACGGTCTGTTACGACAAGCTTTTGGCATGAGGTGCACGGAACTCTGGGTAATCCACTAGAAACATCAATGCTGATTGGTTAATCAAATATCTGATGTCATAGGGTCAAAAGCCACTCGTATGATCTCTGACGCGACCTCCCAAAACAACTGATCAGATCTTCATGTAGTGTCGGCTATTGAAAATATAAAAACGAAACAAAATATAGATCTGCATTTTAATCAGATTGACTTGGCCACTGAGCATGGCTTCGATGTTTGGAGTGATCTATAAATTGATTATTAGATTACAAAAGTGGTTGTCTTGATCTGAAATTTCATTTGTAAAAGATCATAAGAAAGAAAGAAATTTATTAATTCTTGGTAAAACATGTTTTATTCTTGTGACTGGATCAACAATCAATAACAAAACACAGGCAGGGGATTATTCAGGCCGATTGACACTTCTAGGCAGAGGAACATATAGCTGCAATATTTGTAGCCATGATAATTCTTATTCACGACTACAATTGATACACTATTATAGGCTTTGAGCAAGTAAAATTAGGTTCAATTGCAAAATTTTCAACACATATCACAGTTTGCATGGAAATCAGTAATTATGTTACAAATAGTGTTGAGTGGATTACTGAAATTTGAATCTTACCGAACAGTTTTTCTGTATTTTCAAGTGATATGATATCTCGTGAGCTGTCTAGGGCCCATCAGAGCCTTGATCCGCCTCTGCTTAGAACATTCTTGAAAATCAAATTTCAATAGACACAAGGATGTTTGCTATTGTTTATCACACCAAACATGACTGATATGCCTATTTTTGCTTATAAATTTTAATTTCAAATATTTGTCGTAACCTTTGTTCCATGGAGTCAACCCATACAATCAGCCATTCCTAAATAATTCTTCTTTTAAAGATGACAAATGCAATTATGATTGTCATCAAGATGAATTTTCTGTATTTTTCTTTTTCCTACCAATGCCTGGCGGAGGTTCAATGATGTTTAATTCACGACGAAACTCTTGTAAGTCTTGTTCCCAATGTTTCTCGTAATACACAGCCATTAAAAATTTGGCACTCGAACCACATTTTATAGCCCATGGCAGATAGGTAGTAAAATATTTCTGTCTATGACTAAAAAAGAAAGAACAAATGAAAAGACCGGGTTATTCATTACCACAGTGTTTACGAATTACCTCTTAAACATACATTATGCAAGAATTAAATCTGCCTATTGCAGGTCTTTCTTTAGGCCTGAAATGTTTTCTAAATTATTAACTAGACATTAATTAACTTATCCAGACCATAATCAACTCTCGATGTCGTCACTAATCTGCGAACAGCTACATCCATGATATTAAATGTTTCGTATACTAAACGTTAACATGGGACAGAACTTTATAGAAACCAAACAAATTCTAATGATTCTCTGATAATTACTCAATGAGTTGTTACTCGTAATCAGATTTTAGTGTATTATAAATGCTTCATTACCGACAATAGAAAAAATATGCGACAACTCTTGTTGACTGCTCGGACGACTTAGCTGCTGTGGGCGTATGTTTCATTGCCTGACAACCTATCTTTAACTATTATAGTGAGAACTGCCAGCTCTTTACCTAATCTCCCATAATGTATCTTTAAATACTATACTTATGAATTACGATAACCAGAGTGCCAGAACAATGGGTCTGTGGGTACAAACGACCGTCCGTCTTTAAAGCAATTGCAGTCCTCTAAGAATTTTTTGGAATTCTGGTGTAAAACACCGAGGGAACACCCCTAAAACTAGTCATTTTTAAGTTAAAAAAAACTACCAAAAGATGTTATACTTACACAGGTCCTAATCTAACTGGTCCAAACATGGCCGCTAAAGCACACATTGGTAACCCAGTTTGAAAGGTTTCTACCATTTTTACAATAACTTCTCCGAGCATGTGTGGCGGCATTCCAAGAACTGTGTGGAATAAATCGTGAATCTGTCGATAACGTAACATAACATACTGAAGATCTTCATCATCTACAAACTGGACCGGAAGCCTGGCATCCGGTGAGAAACCCTGTAAATATAATTACTTCTAGTTTTAAACGACCTCTGTAATTAAGATGAAAATAAAGTATTGGTTTGAACAAATTTTAACATCACATCAACACAATACTTTGTTCATTATGAAACTAACATATGGTAAATTTTTCTTCGATGGTTATAATGAGAAGGGTAACATTTTTTCCTGGAGAACAGTGTTTTATTTTAGTCTGCTTTGCTTTGATTTTTGTCTACCTATTAGTATGTTGCTCATTTGAGAAACTGGGGTTGGGTGGTCAAATGGTTAAGGACTGCACCTTGCATCATAAAGTTTGTTATTGAGTCAAGTAGAGTGATTTCGATTCCCTGCAATTGCCTGTCCAACCTCTTGGGTTTCTTCCTCTGGTTTCCTCCCACTGAAATCTCTCTCTCTCTCCCTCTCTCTGAGAAAGAAAAGTTTGCCAAAAGCCACAAGGAAAAGAAATGAGGTTTAAGGTCGCACTTTTATCAAAGCATCAAGGTATCCTAGATCTATTCATAATTTGGTTAATTTTAATCCAGCTTATGGTGGTCTATTTTTTTTTTTTTTTACACCATCCAAACTACTAGGCACATTTTCGTTGTCCGGTCCTTCGAACACTAATCCATGACAAATAAGAACCAGGTTCTTCTCAGCTCCTTATGAACCACATGTCACTGTGAAAAAAATAGTTACTTCGTATCTTTACCATTAAGTTGGAGAGACTAACTGGGTCATATTGGGACTAACACATTAAGGAGCCTTTGGAACTAGGAAGAAACTTATGGGGTCTTACTCCTTGTCAAGGTACAACCATGCCACTTGATTCAATGCCAGACCTTTTGATCTAAAGTGCACACATATTAGACCACTCAAACACCAACTTCCTAACCATTTAGTAACTTTACCATTGAATTAAATTTTTAATAATTCCCTGGCCTAGAAATGATTATATATTTGAATTGTAGACTCACATTTTTGTTTAGAAAATTCCAGTAGTGTTTTCCAAATGTGTTCTCTGGTAAACTTCCAAGATATTCTATATCTAAAGTTGATGAATTTAATATTGGCCGTTCTCTGCAATAACATGGTATCATATTGAACAATTAAAGATACATTATGGGAGATTAGATAAAGAGCTGGCAGTTCTCACTGTAATAGTTAAAACCTAGATAATATAAAGGAAATTTGCTGAAAATTTCTGTCAAATTGGTCCACTCTGAACCGAGAATTTAGGGATTAAATTTTCAGCCTAGCATCGATCATCATTACTAAAGTTGGTAAGATAAAAAAATACTCTTGATTATCCTTTTCATGGTTTAATCATGAAGTAAAGTTGAGCAGCAAATTGGATCCTAATCCAGTAAATATTACAGGCTAGCGATGATATAGAGAGTTGTTTATGGTCTTTATAAGTTAATTAATGTCTAATTATGGTCTAATTTAGAAAACATTTCAGGCCTAAAGAAAGACCTGCTTAAGTTATTATAATAATTCTCAAAATAATATTAAACCTACAGTAACCTTGCGGATGTAAATCAATTAAAGCTGCAGTAACCCCAAGAATCTAAATGAAATAGTAAAACGTACAAATATAGCTAATAGGGTCTTTGCAGGTGGTTGTTATTGCAAAGACAAGTGGAGTCAAAAATGAAATGAAACGAAATGGGTTTTACTGTCCTACTGTTCTGCTCCGACTGGGCTAATGAAGACGGGCATATGCCATACAGTGTGCTATGAGGGAAATTTTTCCCGGGCAGCCCACTCTTATATCGAATTCCAACTGCCAAGGGTTCCTTTATGTGCATGCCAATGTATAAACGGGACCTCATTTTTCATCCCATCCAAACGACTCGACAGCTGTCCTTGTCAGGCCATCCATCTTGCACCACTGACAAGGGCAAATGGAGTCATGATTACATGTACTATATTTAACCTTAATATTGTGGACCGAAACTTACTCTAAAATTTGTCGACCAACCGGATCCTGTAACATTTTCTCTCTTAATCGTTGTAATGCAAAATATCCTGTTGTTTCTCCAAATGCGCTCACCATGTCTGTAAAAAAGAAATTAATTATTTTTTAACTCGCTGACAACTCTTCCTTTTAGAAAAACTACTATATGTGAGCTTGAAATCTGAAGTAGTTTTCCCTTAAAGGCTCAATACCACTCTTGTTGTAACTGAATAATATGTCCCAATCTTTATTTTGGTCAACAAATTGTACTATTTTACAATATTCCAATTAATTGATGATACAAATTTTATCTTAACACACCTAATTTAAAAAATTGGAAAAATTCAACTATGATTTGAAAAGCCTAAGGTAAAGCTTTTCAAATGTAACTTGGATTTAAAAATATTTTTGAACCCTTTGGACAAGTAAAATAGGCTTTAATGGATAATTTACACAACAGGTAGGACACTAACACATCTAGTACTTAGAATAAGGCTATTTTTTATTTTCTGGAGCTGTCAAGCCAGCAAGAGTGTTATTGTCCCTTTAAAGACCTACCCTATATAATCAGCCGTCCCATCAAGTTTCAGGAAATTCTATCAAGAACTCTGTCCCTGTATCACGTTTATATGCTTTTATATGTTTGATCATAATCCATGTATTAAATCTGCAATTTTTATTTACGATAGAGTTTTTCCTAAAAAATTTTTTTGAAGAACTCTGATCTGTAATAGTAAGTGCAGGGGGACTGCACCACACATAATTACACAAACTAAAACTACGGAAAAAGACACAATACGCAGAAATCACAAACAAACGTATATATCAGATTAAGTGAATGGATTACAAGAAACTTGGCATAAGAAATCCAAATTGGCAGCACATAATACAACAAATGATAAGAAAATCAATCAACTTATCATTAACGTCAGAAGTTTCATCATACTGACCATATGGGCATTTGGGCAAGCCTGCTGGGCTGGGACCAATGGTACAAATGGACCACAAGGCTGGATCAAAACCAATAAAGTTATGAATAGACCCAGACACGAGACTTGCAATTAGTAGTGAATAACCAACATTTAGACTCTTCTCAGACGAACCAATATTAATGAATAATCTGGGCCAATCAACTAGGTGGTGGATGCCTGGCTGCTTTTACGTTCCAGTCCCCTGTAGAGTTTCCCCATTAAACTCACCATCTCTTGCTGGATCTACTATAGCTGTAATCCCTGAACCAATAGCTAACAGAGTTTTCTGAAACCTTGTAGTGGGAATATGGCCTGAATATAAATAGTCATAACCTGGGTGGTGACTGTCTTCTGAATCTGTATGCATCTCTTCATTCTCTATAAATACACAATTCCTTTTAAAATAATCATTTTTAATCCCTTGTAAACAACTAAAGTTGAATCTCTAAAAGGAAAACTGTTCCAAAAATGGTTCAGTTCCATTCAGTATTTTTAAAGTTATGAGGAATTAAAAATTTCGCAACATTCAGCATCCTGTGCAACTGATATATGTATGAACAAGTCAGTTGTCGCTTGATAAGAAACCTTATTTCACAACCCTCCGTGTTTCGAGATAAGAGATGGTACTATGTAGTTTTACCTTGCAAAACCCAGATGCGAATCAGATCGGGCTTCAAAAAGCAAAACGGTCAATTTTTTCTTCAATTGTTATTTATTACATTTCTACCACATCCAACTACAATTAATAATCCAACCTAACACGGTTACAAACCATCTCCTTTAAATCGAAGCGATAATTTCTGGCTTTACCAGACATTTTTTAAATTGACATCTAGTTATTTCCTGAATGTCATGTAACAACGTCGGCCAATCAAAATATGCGAAAAGTAGGAAATCCTTTATAGGTCGCAAGAATAGCCTTATCAATTCTGTTAGAAACATTGATTGATTAACTTTACTTGCAGATAAATGAAAGTTATTTAACTATATTGAGCTGGATATATTTACTCAATCCCAATAGGGTGAAATTAACTAATTTTTCAGACGTTACATGCATTGGTAGAAATTAAGTTCGCCAGGTGAAACTAAAGGCATCCAATCGTTGCTAAAAACAAACACATCACAGTATCTCAATGTTTTTAGCGAAGTACTGGGTAAAACTTTTGATGCCCCTTCTCAATGTGATTAAATCAAAGCGGGAGTTTATCTACTGCTGATATTTTGGTTTTGCTGTCTTATTTATGAAATGTTAAATTTATGAATTTGTGAGTCAGCTTGGATTAAATGCAAAAATTAGAAGTGGTCTGCATCCTATCATAAACTGGAGTTTTCTCCCTTCTACTGTTTACAAAGTTACTTGAATGATGTAATTTAGAATAACAAACCTTCTTTGACATCGGTGGAATATGTTACAAGACCTCGGTGTCTCGTCACTCTACTTTTACAAACCTGCATTAAATTCAACCTTCTGAAATATGAATACTTTGAGTAATTAAGAGTTTTATAAATAGTAGTAAACGAATTCATTTCTAAGACGTGTCAGATCATCCAGGCGTAACTGTAGTCTCGATTTCCAAAACGCGTATTAAATTTTTCATTTGTAGATGTTTCACACCAACAAATGAGACGTTTTATCCCATTTAACGACAACGGTTCTTAAATGCAGGAATTGTTGTTTTAGTTCAAAGATATTAATTATATTGCCCCGATAGGTATTTATCGACCCGAAACATAATATTGGATTGATTTGATTAGTTGGTGAAAAAGGCCAATTAAATAAAGGAAATAGAGGAAGATTGTCAACAGACATTTTAATGGGGTGAAACATCTCCCAAGCCCTCTTTGACCTTTTTTAAACCGGAAGATGCACATGTTTCTGTTTACAACTTCAAAACAAGACGTCTTGAATGGTGTCGTAATCTGTCGTTTTCTAGAAGATACGAAAGGCTATTAGTTATTTGTGCTGTTCATTATTTCTCATATCATTTTAGTGCGATTTTGCAGTTAAACCAAGACATTAGTGAAAGAATTTTTTTTTTTTCTTTTTGATTCTGTGGGGGAATTTATAGTGGGCGTCAGTCACTGAACAAACTCAGTCACTGATTGAGTAAACAATTTATCACGGTAAGAAAGTTGACCCCAATTTGAAAAGTGAGGTGATCAAACTCGGTGGATAGGGGTGACTGGACTAAAATAAGGTACGTGGGACAGGCCCGACTAATCACCGGAATTCATTTACAATCACTGGAATTCATAATCACCGGAAATCACTTGTAATTGTAATTAGTGATTGATACTAGTTTATTAAAACAGTAATTAATTATATGCATGAAACATATTATGGTATATAAAGTGCAATAAACAAATCAATATTTTGGCTATATTTATATATTTATAATTGCAAGCCTCTTTTATCAGTATTTCGCAGTCCTAATTTTAACTTACAATATTATTTGACCAAATCCATACACCCGAATTCATTTACAATCACCGGAATTCACTTACGCTCACCGGAATTCACTTTGAAGATATCAGAATTTGCCTGTAAAATCTTCCTATTTACTTATATTTTCCATTAATATTCAATTACTTTAAAACACATAAAATCACCGGAATTCACATTGAAAACATATAAACAAGCCAGATACGCTCACACCAGGAATCAAAACCACAGCCGCAAGCCAGAGGTGACTGACCAGCTAGCGGTCAAAGCACGGCACTTCTAGACCACTAGGCCACCCCCAAGTTTATTCGAAAATTAACTTGGTAATAATAAGCCAATCAAATCAAGTCTCATCAATAATGGTTTGGATGTTTTCATAGATAATCCGTTGTAGCATGAAGCAGTCCAGATTAAATAAAGTGTAATTGTGAGTTGTCTTGTGCCACTAACGAGAGGCAAAAACACAGGGGTCACACAATATCGGCTAAATCCATACTGATTATTCCTTAAATCAACACTCACGTGTTTAGTAGTTATTTTAATAATTAATTTCCAGTGGATATGAAGTTCAGATTTATGTTTAACCTGTTTGTTGACAAGGCCCTTTTGTTGATGGTCTCTAGAATCATAGCTATAATATTAAATTGTTTTTTGCACTATATATATATACCATAATATGTTTCATGCATATAATTACTGTTTTAATAAACTATTAATCTCCCCTCCCCCGAATGAATCTCATTTATTTCTGTCTATCAACTTCAGTAGGACGTTACCTCAACATGGCAAGACATAGATAAACAAGAATGAGCTCTATTCACTGCTTGTGCACTGCTTGCTGTCAAGTCACCCAGGCTGCTGTGTTAGGTGTAGTCATTATGGGGAGAGGCACAGCAAAAATGGGGTTTGAAAGAGTGATAGGCCTTTATGCCATGGGGATTTAACTTCACTTAACACAAACATGATGATTCAATTTTCGCTTTAGTGTAGGGTCTTTAATTATATTAGCAGTAGGAGGAAACTGGAGGACGGCATTTTTCTGGCTTCAATTGTTGTTTACATGTACATTATTATTTAGATATTTATTCACACAATAAGCCCATAATGAACTATCTAGATGATAGGATGGCTTTGATATTGAGTGGATTATCTGCGTTATGAAGAGTGCCGATAGATTGAGTAGCGATGCAGACTTTGTTTATTATTATCATGACAGTTGTACTTGACAATTGAGAATTTTAACTGTGGACAGAGTCACTCTGCCAACGATCAGCAATTTTGCGTCAAAACTTCAAACATTCATAACTTCGCTAAGAATAAACAAATTTGACTGAAATTCAATAAAACAACATTCAGTTTTCATTATTGATTTTGAACTACATGTATTATAGCAAGAAGGGGCAGCTCTTTATCTACATCTTGAATAATGTGCTTTTTTAATTAAAGATACATTATGTGATTAGATAAAGAGCTCACATTTCTCACTATAATGGTTATAAACTGGATAATGTAAAGGGAATTTGCTGAAAATTTCAGTCGAATTGATCAGCTCTAAACTGAGGATTTAGCGATTGAATTTTCGACCTACATGTAGTCTCAATCATCATTACTAAAGTCAGTATGATGAAATACATAGTCTCGATTATCCATTTCATTATTAAATCATGAATAAAAGTTAACTAGCAAATCGGATCCTAAATCAGTAAATATCGCAGGCTAGCGATGACATCGAGAGTTGATTATGATCTGGATAAGTTAATTAATATCTAATTAATAAGTTAGATTACATTTCAGGCCTAAAGAAAGACCTGAAATAGGCAGATTTAGCTCTTGCTTAATGTATGTTTAATTGTTGTATTTTTTTTTCATATTACTGCTTCAGACAAATGGCAGTATGTAGAACATTAACCTCCAAATGGTGTACCATTCCAGTTCTGTGGCGTCGAAGTTTTATCCCAAATCAGATTCCTTTAAACAATTCAAGGAGAGTTTTGCCTAGTGTTATGCCGATGAGAAATTACAGTAAATTAACAACAGATCTTTCAAGATGTATCTTTGGAAAAAGAGAGACACTGGTTTCATATCAAAGTCATTCAAAGAGATGTTCAACTTCTCCCCAACCTGCGAAAGGATCGTTGACGAAAATTGAACCTAAGCTATCAATTCATTATACCTGTAAAGTTTGCCAGTCACGAAACTCAGAGACGTTTTCAAAGATATCATATGAAAAGGGTGTGGTTATCGTGAAATGTCAAGGTTGTCAGAATCACCATCTCATAGCAGATAATCTCGGCTGGTTCCACGATTCGGCCAGGTAAATTTATATTAAATACAATAACATCAAGTTTGGAAATAAGACACCTGTCACAGACTCTGTCAAGTACAAATTATTAAACAACGTACATATACAAGATTGAAGACTGGACATAAGGTATTGAAGGCACCTGTCGCAGACAATGTTATATGTACACATTATCACATAATGTATAACAAATGAAATGGGGTTCTGCTCCTAACCTGGGCTTAGAAGACGGACATACGAGGCATATGAGGGAAATTTTGCCCGGGCAGCGGCGCTACGGCCTACTCTTATTTCGAATTCCAACTGCCAAGGGATCTTTTACGTGCACGCCAATGTTTACACAAGACATCTGTTTTTCGTCCCATCCGAACAACTAGAAAGCTGTACTTGTCAGGCCCTCCATCCTGTATCACTGACAAGGGGAAACCACGCTGGAAAATCTGGATGAACTTTCTCGGCCAATGCAGGGATCGAACAGCCGACCTCCAGGCTAGCGAGCCAGCGTCTTACCCACTTAGCCACGTGATCCCCATAATGTATAACAAGTCTAGGCATCTGTCACAGACTTTGTCAGACATGCATCATCACTAGGGTGGTCCTTATTTTGCAAAATTTTGAAAAGTTGAGGGGCTACCCTCAATTTATGTTAGAATTGATGAGAAAAAAATAAATGAAAGAATAAAAAATTTTTTTAGAAGATGCTACCGTTTATGGAAAAAAGTTACACATGAAAATCAATGTTGTTTGCTGGTTAAATAGAAGGTGAACAAGACAAAAATAATATTTATAAAGCTACACAAGTGACTCCAGTGTTATCTACAGAGGTTCAAAAATTGGCAAAATCAAATCTAGACCTTCTGTCCTCGGAGTGATCTTATTTAGCTTATACACTAAGCCTCTTGGTCTCATAGTAAGACATCATGAATTATTATTTCATCTATATGCGGATGATACACAATTGTACATTTTATTCAAACCTATTAAAAGTGACTTTCAGACATTATAATTTGGATGAACAACAATTTTTTTAAACTTATTGCAGATAAGACAGAATATTTGGTTATTGGATCTTCTTTAAACAGGAAAAAGTTAAACTTAAAACTTTGATTTATCCATACAAGCAGGAGATGTTGAATTGTCACTTCTCAGTCAGCCAGAAATATTGGTGTAATTTTTAATTCAAATTTTTCTTTGGAAAATCACATAAACAATATCTGTAATATAGGTTATTTTAATCTAAGAATCATAGCTAATATATAAAAATATTTGTCATCGACATGTAAAGTTTTCAAGTGATAATTTGCTCTATATTGAGAAAAATGCCAATCTCCTTAGTTTCAGTGAGACGACTTTTGATATTGTTGCCCCAAAACTGTGAAATAAACCTCCTTAAGGTATCCAGTGCATGTAATAATCTGTCATTTAAAATTTCTCTTGATTAAATGATGGAATAAGGAAGTTTATCCCATCCAGTGGGTAATGTCATCATTTAAATTTCCACTTAAAATACAATTTTTTTAAAAGTTAAAAGCTTTCTCACTGAAACTGACAAAATTAGCAGTTTTCTCCATTAGGAACAAATTACCACTTGAAGGTATTAGGTTACTTATACATTTAAAAACTAATGATAAAATCTTATATTAAATTCTAAAAATTACAGGAAGCCATCAGTGTAGTTTGTATAGAATAGGTGTGACATGATCCCTGTATAATATTCGGTATAATGTACACCGGAAGCCACAACAGAAGGGTTAGAAGTAAACATATAGGAAAAAGATATAATTTCCCAGAAAATTTTTGATTTTGTCAATTTTCGAA